AAAACACCACCCCCCCCCCCCCCCCCCCCCATTGGCGAAGCATGGGGAGAAGTTACAATTATAGAGACATCCCTACTCTCCCGGATGTTCCGGGAGTCTCCTACTATTAGATAACGTCTCCCAGAAAGAGAAACATTTTCTCCCGGAAACTTTTCATCCCCCCGCGGATGGCACCTCCCTGAAATGATTTCTTTCAGGTTGGGTTTCCTGTGTTTACCCTAATGAACCCTGTCTGTACTGTGCTAGCAGATTTCATTATGAGTTGTAAACCAGATTTAACCACTGTCCTAACAAAGGGCTAAATAATTAGAAGCGTTCTATGGTAATGAGAGTCTGAGTCTGTCCCCCAGTTTGTCCCTGTACTTACACTTTCAAACTGCTCAGAATAGCCTGGAATCTGCACAAAGGCCTCCACTAAAGAAACATCTAAAAGTTGAGAAATATTTTTTAAATATTAGGTGGGTTTTCTCAAATTTGACTGCAGAAGTGGAAATACCCTTTAAATTTAAATTGCTTCCTTTGGTCTCCTGCATTTGTTGCTTTTTTTTTTCTGCCTTGCGTAATTGTTCATTACACACCACCATGTTTAACTACATTCATTTATGGTAATTCACTTTGTGAAACAGTTTATTATCACTTTTATTCTACCTATCTTATCAATCATTGTTTTCTTTCTATCGTTAGATCACTGGTGCACAGGATATGGAAGCTGTAACCTTCAAGAAGCTAGTCAAAGGTCATGCATACTCCCTTACTGGAGCCAAAGAGGTATATATAGCACTAAACTGGAAGTTCCGTTTAATGTACTTATTTCAATTAGAAACTACACAGTCTTCCATTTTTGCATTTTTTTCTTCATTTCTACATAGTCCCTCTTTTCCTTTGGACCTATAGTTCTGCGTCAGTAAATGTACAGAAAAAGCATCTGTCAGGAGAAAAATATATAGGCTGCAATTTTTGGACTATTTATGAACATTATTATTATACAGGATTTATATAGCGCCAATAGTTTGCACAGCGCTTTACAATATAAGAAAGACATTACAGTCACAATACAATTTAAGACAAGATGGTAAGGAGGGCCCTGCCCGTGAGGGCTTACATGCTAGTTTCCTGACTGTCTTTGGCTTCAGCACGTCAGAGTCACAGACCCTGCACAATCATGCGAAAAAGGATTCCTGATCTTCTGGGATAGTGGCTCAGTAAGCATTGAAATTACAACATAAGCACGACGGCCAGGCACAATCATTTTCAGAAGAAGTCGGAAATGGCAGCCGACAGGTGTACTTTAAGTACAGAATCAATTAAAGTCCAGTTGAAGTGTCACACCTTTTATTGGTTTATAATCCTGCACCCTTGCATGTTATGATTTGTGACTGATTTTTATTATTATTATTATACAGGATTTATATAGCGCCAACAGTTTGTACAGTGCTTTACAAAATGGAGGGAGACAATACAGTTACAATACAATTTCAATACAGGAGAGTTAGGAGGGTCCTTCTCGTAAAAGCTTACAATCCAGTAGATTGCAGTGGATTACAGATACAATTTTCTGGCTCCTGCAGACTCACCATGCAGCCCTGTCTGTACAGAAGTACAGACTTTCAGTTATAGGGAGGAAGTTTGGATGCAGTAAAAGTAAGCACTTGTACTGCATTGAGAACTACAGGTCCCTCTGCCACAGTGTTAGATAGGACTTGTGGTTTGTCCATTCACTGATCCTGTCAAAGGATCTGAGATTGGATGATGTGGAAGGGTGTGCTCAGCAAAGCACTTCCACGCCTAATTCAAAAAGTGACATGAGCTTGCATGGAGAAGAACCCTGCGATTCTCGTAAGTGGGTGGGATGAGGGTGAGGGGGCTGAACAGGTGCCCATATTTCATGTTACAGCCTGAATATGTGTGTAACATGAAAGACGATATTAAAATGAAATGTGTCCTTTAATACCAATACTAATGTGAAAGCGTGTTTAAACATTTGTAAACACCTGGATTTTTTATGTATCGGGTTTTGATAATCTTTTAATCTTTGTTTGACCATCTTAAATGATGTAAAGGTTGGAGGCATGTATTGTAACCTCTAGACACTAAGAAAAGGATGACAATGCAGGACACAACAAGCCTGATTCTAAACTCGTCGGTCTAGATCGAGGCATAGTGGGGCTTGCTTAGGGGAAAGTAATAAGTAATTCTGGCTATAAGGAAGTGCTCATTATTCAACACAGAAATTTGTACAAAATCTCTGCAGCAGAGATCATTCCATCATCTTTGGAGAACAGGAGAAAAGTTGGTTACCACATGTGCAGCTCTTTTAACTGTCCTCAAGGAATGGAGAACACACTGTGGGGACAAGTTCAAAGATGGACAGATGTCTCACCACCCATTGAATCCGAAGAGAGATCTGCACATTAATGGGCAGCCCTAAATTTGCATAACTAGTGAGTTAAAACTGTCATTAGTAGGGCTTATCAGGGCAGAGGAGATAAACCTAAATGTTGCAATTCCCTCATAAGCAGGGCTTGAGGGGATGGCTGCCTGGTTTATATGTCGGCAGTCCAATGATGGCAGTGGAATGCATGGTAGCGGGGATGTGATAGGAGTTAATCTGGAGTGAGCTGGGATTTGCAGCAGTGGTCTAGAACAAGACATTGACAAACAAAAGCTTGATCATATACAATACATAGTGAACAATGGCCTAGCAGCAAGTTAGCGGAACAGCACTCAAATCATGACTGAAGGTCAAGGTCACAAATAGAAATACTCAGACACATGGGGTTCGGGTATTGGGTAATAGGAATCAGAAGTCCTGTGCTCAGAATAAGGCTTATAAAGGCTGCAAACTTAAATGATTAAGGGGGAAAGGTGTGAGATTGTCAGTGCACATGGTTGCTGCATCAACAGGTGCTGCATCAACAGGTGCTGTGTTATGAACACTTTCATTTTTGACAAATGAATGTTACAGCTTGATCAGAGTTTGTCTTTTTTTTTGTTTGTTGTAGGTCAATTTCAGAGGCCAAAATACTAAATTAGTTCGAATGAGGAACCCCTGGGGTGAGGTTGAGTGGACCGGTGCTTGGAGTGATGAGTACGTGTCAGAACTTCGTACATGTCATACTCTTTATGAATACTATTCTACTAATATTTTGACTTTGTCCCAAAAAGATAAAAGCTAACTTGCTTAAATTGCAATGGTGTATCTTTCTAGTTCAAATGAGTGGAATTATGTGGATCCATCAGAGAGAGATGATCTCAGACTAAAAATGGAAGATGGTGAATTTTGGTGAGTGCTTCTATCTTTGTAAAATGATGTTGGAATATACAGTGATCCTTTTAGTTATTTCTGATTTAAGGCACACTGAGAATTGCAGATGATTCTTTGGTTTTATCAGTTATCACCTCCCTCAACAGGCACACATAAAATAAGTGGGTAGTGTATACACATGTGTAAGGTAGCATTATACACAAGACACATAATGACAATGCAGAATTTTAAGTGACATTAAAGGATACATTTTTTTTCCCTCCCCCCATGTTAATGTCAGCACTTACCTTAAATGATGTCTCTTAATCCGATCTTCTTCATTCGCCATGTTTTTATCTGTCCCTCCAGCGGTGCGGTGGCTCTCCGATCCAGCGCTGACTCCTCTCTGCTTGCAGGCACTTCCAGTGGTGTCTGCATGCGGGTGCAGACACCACTGGAAGTGGGGGCTGCGGCACTTGCTGACAAGCGGTGGGTGTTCCAGGGAGATAGGAGATGGTAGTGGAGGTGGTGACCGGTCGATGGAGTATGCGGCCAGGAGGGCCGGTCCAGGTGGTGAGACTCCAACGCTTGAGGGCACAAGCGGGGAGACTGGTGACAACGAGCGGTGAGTCTGCAGATTGTAGCGGGTGAGGGCGGGAAGTGGCGGAGGTAAGAGCGGGGTCTGGTGTGGCAAGGAACCGAGCGGCTACGCGTTTCAAAGAGCTTGTCTTCTTTCTCAAGCCGGGTAGTGAGGGGCTCACTACCGCTCGTTGTCACCGGTCTCCCCGCTTGTGCCCTCGAGCGTTGGAGTCTCACCACCTGGACCGGCCCTCCTGGCCGCATACTCCATCGACAGGTCACCACCTCCACTACCATCTCCTATCTCCCTGGAACACCCGCCGCTTGTCAGCAAGTGCCGCAGCCCCCACCCCCGATCCACTCGGCGTCCTGCCTTGAATGGACTGAAGTCTCCCAGCCGTCGACTCAGATAGCCTGTCATCCAGCATCACCCCTTACTATTTTACCAGCACCCATCATCTCTCTGCTCACTGTGCCTGCAATAACCAGCCTCCTCCCCCTCTCCTACGAACACATACCCAGGCCAGCATCTACACTGTGCCCCCCTCAGCCACCACAGCAGAGACCTATATACCCCCCACTTGCTCACACATCCCCCTGAGTGATCACCACCCTCACCATTCATGGACCTACACCCATCGACCCCTCGCCGCTGATTACGCTCCACCATCCATCCATTGGTAAGTTGGCCATCTCCATTCATTTTATATATGGTAGTAGCGCTTCTTTACTCCCCTTTCTCTTTGAACCACTACTTATTAGCAGCATATAAAGTGTATTCTCCATTCAATAGTCTCAGTCAAATGCCTCTGGTGCTATTCAGTGTGCTGCAGGAAAATGTAGCATGTTTTCATTGTTCTGCACCACACATCACTCCAGCTTTGTGGTGTAAACTGGGAACATGGGAAACGCCGGTGTGAAAGAGCCCTTAAGTGAATTTAACCATGCGTGGGATAAACATAGTGTTATACAGTACTCAAAAAAACAAACAACACAAAAACAGCAAAAAGAAACCTAAATGTTGAAAAAACAAAGGGCAGACAGCATGAACCACGTGGTCTTTTTCTGCTGCCACTCTTCTATGTTTCAAAGTATGGGATTATACACATAATGCTGATCTGTGGACAGCAGTACTGGGTGACAAAATGTGCCTTCTTACCAGCAACAGAATATCAGTTAAATCACTGGTGCATATTAACCATAAAAACTACAGTAACAAATTAATGTGTGACTCCAGACAAAACTTTTTTGCATGGTTTTGGGTAGAGTGGAAAAGGGTTATGATCTCTTTTAGGGTTTTATTGCTATCTTGGGAAGATTGCATTTATGTTCTTAGTTATAATATCAGTCTGATAGGAATGATATCATTTATGAAATAAACCTAATTTTCTGCAAACCTTTTTATTGACCTTTTTATTCATGTATGTAATTTCTTCCTTTTAGGATGTCATTCCAAGAGTTCCTCAAGGAATTTTCCCGTCTAGAAATTTGCAATCTCACGCCAGATTCCTTGACAGCACGCAAATACCGCAAATGGAACACAACATTTTACCATGGAACCTGGAGAAAGGGGAGCACAGCTGGCGGCTGTAGGAACTTTCCAGGTAATCAATGTTGTGTTCTATTAGCTTTGGGTTCTTAGAATGAAAGTTGTTTATTTCAATGGAAGCCCTCTGTGTAGAGATTAGTACAGGTTCCTTGTAAATGGCAGGATGATGCTTAATCTGCTGTTCTTTACAGGGTATTGTGTACTGATATCGGATCAGTGAAATATCAGGGTGTTCATGGAGAACCATTGTAGTCAGTGGTCATATTTCACTGAAGATGCATGTAGTGCTGTTGGTGAACTCTGAGATTACAGATTACATCCCTAGTAAAATCCTGGAGCTACAGAATATGAGAAGTGACTCCTTTACATTCATGAAAAAAAGAACAAAAGAGAGCGCCTCCATAGTGTAAAAATGTTATTTAATAGTAAAAACACGCAGCTCTAAGGCTGTACTTACAACAGTTCGGTAGAATAAAAACCAGTAGAATAGTGTGAGAGGACGGAACCCCTGGCAAAGGAGAATCTGGAGCGATGTAAAACACCAGTAACCTCGATCCCTGTATTGATAAATGGTTAACGCGTTTCTGGGGCACGCCCCCTTCATCAGAACCAATGCTTTTTTTCATAGACTGGTGTTCCATCTAATCTGTGGGAGCTGCCTCCACCGTGTTTGCTGTATTTTTACTGCTGGGCTCATTTTTGGATTTGAAGGCGCCGGTATTGTTTTGCAATTTCGTCCTTTACATTCATATACAGAGGGGTCACAGCCAGCAGTATTTCCCCCACGTTTTCGTGACTGATTTAGAGTAGTGTTGTGTAGACTGATTAAAGGAAAATTATGAGGCAATTGATTTTCACTCAGCCTCAGATTCTGAGCCGACCTGTGACAATGAAACTGTCACAGGTCGGCTCAGTAGATCGGGAAGTGAGCGAACACATATGCTAGTTTGTGTCCTCCCGTTACCCTTAGGAGAACTATGGGGAAAAGCCCTAACCACATAGTTCTTCTTTAAAGAAATGTTAAAATGAGTTGGGTGAATATTGGTAGAACATAATATATTGCAATACAAAAGATATGTTTAAATATAAATTTGGTGCAGAAGCTTAGCTTGAAATAATCCTGCATTCTTCATGCAGCTTCAGCATCTTCTATAGGGATAAAAGGCAGAGCATGTAAAATGAATATAAAACACACAACAAATGACAAATGCAAAGGGGTAATGGACCTGTAGTGCTAAGGAGTGCTTTACAGCAATTGTTAAAGTACAGCTCCACCTTTTGTACAGTTTTCCTTTAATAATTTCCCCCCTCCCCCTGTGTGCTGCCTACTAGGCGAAATGCTTGCCTTCAACCCCGATCGAGTGATCTTCATTGTGTAATCTCCAATGCGCATGCGTGCTTTGGCCCTATGTATCTGTATGGGAAAACTATACTATGAGTGACCACTTAAGGCAGTGGGGACATTTTCTACAGTAAAGCTTGTCCATACACTGTTTCTGCGAACTTGGCTGAAACTGAAGCAGTCGATTTTTTTTTTTTACTTTTGCTGAAGGAACCTTGCTGAAAATTGTTGGCCAAACAGTAACGGCAGCCAATGAGCTACAGCCACTGATTGAGCATTGTGTCAGTGGCACTGCCGTCATTGTCAGAAAACAATAGCCATGCGGAGGGATTCTCCCCATATACGCTGTTTACTGTGGATAAGGAATTCAAGCGTTTTTTCTCATTCAGCCCACAGGACTGAACAAGTAAAAAAAAAATTAAAAGTTTATGACCAGCTTGGCTGCGCAGCTTTGAAGATCACTTCATCTGGGCTAAGGGTAAGATGGGTAGGGGGAACTTACTGTTTCATGACAAGGGTGCAGTTGTCCTCTAAGGAAACAAGCATTTATAAAAATAGGTGTAAAAAGAGATATCTTTTATATAAGGAAAGGGAAGCAAAAGGGAAACGAATAAACAGTAATTTGTATATTGCACACAGTCCAGGAGAAACTCGCTAATTAAGAAATGCCCTAAATAGTTAACTAAGTTATATTTTATCTAGCCACTCGATGAAAGATTACTAAAATTGTAACTGAGCAAAATAACAAAATGTCATGCATCAGTCACTTGCATCAGTTTTTGGTTTGTTTTTTTTTAGTTGCCCATGTAACATAATTCTAATATCAGTTGTCTCTGCAAGTAGGTTGGTTATTTTTCGCATCCTTTAACTGGATGACCATGCTGTTTATTCTTCAAAACCATTACACAGCAGTGTTGTCACACTGTGGCCAGGGTAGACTTAGATGGACAGAAGTCAAACAAACGTTAAGCAAATTATAGCCCCAACTATAGCTAACACAATTTAAGCAGTTAGAAGAAAAGGTTTAAGCCTTTAAGCACCCTCACCAGTTTTATATGGGTTCTCCTAACACCTGCATCTACCACTTTTGCTGGGCAGCTTGGTCTGTTTTCAGGAAATAGATCGACCGGTTGGATCTACAGGTAATAAAATGTTACATGAGGGGGTGGGGGGACTGGAAAAATCAAAAACTGCTCTGTTAATGCTATTGACAGACTGCATCCTGCATCATACATGTCACTTTTTATTTGTGTGAGAGTTTTAATTTAAGTTTGATCAGGGTCTCTGGCAGTAGCTAGCTTTAATGTCCCAGTTCCTGTATAACCAGATTGGAGCATTTAAATTTCTTTGTCCAGGCCAGCTCAGGCGGAACACTTGGCAGGTAGAAACTGCATAACCAGTTAAATAAAGGAAGTCTAACCTCAGTACAATAGAAACAGTTTAACCTCGCAATGAACAGGGACTTATACTCATAGTGTCCCAAAACAACATCAAAGAGTGTTTCCTTTTTTTAGTTCAATAAGTGTTTATTGAGGATTTTCCACAAACAAACATACATACATACACAGGGGAGTGTCTCCTTTTTTAACATCAAGTGTGCTTTCGCTTCACCCAAAACTGTGAACTGTTTCGTGGGCTCCACTTGCCTTTTAAAAATTAACTCACTCTTAATGTAGGATCCTAATATGCAAAAATAAGAAAAAGTGCTTGAGAGAACATATGAATTTACCTTAATAGTAGGGATGCACAGATACTTTTTGAGTATCAGTGCCGATACTTGGCATTTTCATGAAAACTACCAGGGTTGCAGCGGTTGCAGCTGGGACCTGGCTCTGGCGCTCCACCACTGTCCTGAAATCATTAGTCGATATTGTTTTTAGAAAAACTGTCACATGACAATAAACAAAAATGTATCAGTACTTGTACTTGTAAGTACTTGGGCAGGGTATCAGTACTTGTAAAAATGGTATCGGTGCATCCCTTGATTTATATTTTTAAAAACAAAATCATACATTAAAACAGGGATGCACAAATCCCCGGAGCTCCTTGTGCTCCTTACACATGACAGCTGCCTCCTAACTTTTGAATTTTTCTCTAGTCTAGTCTTGAAGCTGGAAAAGTATCTGTACTTGTAGTTGTACCGAGTATAGTACTTGGTATCGGTGCATCCCTACTTAATAGTCTAATTTCCATCAATGGGCACATCTCACCCATCAGCAACGTGTAATACAAATAGGATCCACATAATTGTTGTAATAATGTTTGTGAATAAAGAATACAGCTCCCAGTTTGTGCACTGTAGGCCTGGTGCACACGGTATTTGGGCTATAGTATATAACTACAAAGACATATTATCCCCTCAATCTTGCCACGTTTTACAAACAGCGTGTGCATGCTCTCATAGAATGCTCCACACTCTGGACTTCAGCAGGATCGAAGCTTGATGTGTGTGTGCATCTAAATGCTCTCACACTGATGGGTAACTAAAGTCAAATACAAACATATAAACATTTAACAAATAGTATGCTTTGTAGGAAAAACCAGAGCTCTAGTATGTAAATAATACCAAGCCTCAGCATGTTACAACTAGTGATGAGCTCAGGCGTGTTCGCAGCTCCATGTGCCGAGCCCACCAGGAAGCTGACAGTGCGCAGCCCAAATCACAGGTACTGAGACATTTCCCGATCTCTGCAGCTGCGGACCGGGAACATGTCTCAGTACCTGTGATTGGTGCTGCGCGCTGTCAGCTTCCTGGCGGGCTCGGCACGTGGAGCTGCGAACACGCCCGAGCCCATCACTAGTTACAACGCCACTCCTTCATGGCCACCCAATAGGGAAGAGAAACGGGTGCCTGCAGGCCGAACTCATCCACGCTTAAATGTACGTACCTTTACAGTAGAAAGAATCCAGCCGCAAACCGCTTGTCATGCTAAAAAACTCATTTATTCGGACTTACACAGCTCGGCTCAGTACCCCCCTTGGTCTCCACCATAACGTGTTTCACCCTATCCAGGGCTTAGTTGTAGAGTTGGATAGGGCAAAACGCAATAGTGGGGTAAACCAAGGGTGGGACTGAATTAAGTTGAGCTGTGCAAGTCTGAATAAATGAGTTTTTTTAATTCAATCTTTTTTATTGAACAGAATTTTTCAAGAAAATATATAATGTTGCGGGGTTTTAAGTAATTTTCAGGCCTAAAATGTGGAATATAACATGGGTACAAAAAATGAAAAAAAGGCCTCAGTCATGAAGGGGTTAAGATGCCATGACAAGGGATGTATGACTGGATTATTTCTACTGTGTAGATACTACCTAGCCTGCCTATACATCAAAGAACAAAGAAAAACGCAAATAATAAAGCAAAAGATTATAAAAATTAACAACAATAAACAACAATAATAAGAGAATAATAACCAACATTTGTATAAACCTTAAAAATAATTAATACCTAAATAATACCCCAAATAATCCTTAGCTGCAAACTACATGTATGTATACACCCTGACAACCCCCTCTAAGCATTACTAATAAAATAAGGAATGTCCAACTCAACATTCAATCCCCCTGGAGACAAAATCTGTCGTATATATTCATTTGATCTCCTGCTTTGATAATTGCATCTTTAGATTAGTCCCTCTACACTGTTTCACTACCTTTTCCACACCCCATAAAAAGTAAACCACTAGGTTATTTTTATGGTACTTAGAAAAATGCTTAGAAACAGTATGATACCTAAATCCCCCTTAAAAATCATCAGATCACATGATGTCACGGTGGTCACAATATCTAGGAAAATGTGGCCAAGCTGTTAAGTAAGTAGCAGTGGAGCTGGTACAGTATTTGTACTGTGTAGCCACTCACCTGAAATGACTGTCTAGCTAAATGTCTTCCTTCTGTTTAACATGCTTCTTCTCCTTCATAGCTACGTTCTGGATTAACCCACAGTTTAAAGTGAAGCTGGAACATGAGGATGAAGAAGATGATTATAGCAATGAAAAAGGCTGCACTTTTCTCATTGCCCTTATGCAGAAAAACCGAAGAAAAGAGAGACGATTTGGGAAGGACATGGAGACGATCGGTTTTGCTGTCTATGAGGTGGGTAGCTGACTTGTTTGGTTGTACTTAGGACACTCGGTGGGGCATATTTGTAAAAAGTGAGATAAATACACTAATAAAATCATACACGAGAACATAACCGATACAATACAGGTTTGAACGTTTTAAAATACTGTAAACCTTCAGACCATACAGTATGTTCAGAGCAGTTGTTGCTAATGAAAGTAATAAAAGTAGCAAAAACCTTCTTGAATTGAAAGACTCGCATTCACTGCCATCTCGGGCCTCCTGAGCAATATGTTTGGTTGCCTGTCTGCTGTTATGCACGAATGGCTTCCATACCTAGTCATTGATCTGCAACATATATGCAGTTTAGGAGTTCTGATTTCATGTACATCATGCTTTTTCTGGTCTGTGACTCAAATTGTATCACGGCCACAGATAGCCAGGCATCTAGCATTCTCAGAAGGAGGCAGTAATGGCAGCCTACATATTTCTCTCAGTACAAGTTTCTTTTAAAGCTGAACTCCCACCTCACCTTTTTTTTCCACACTTGTAGCAAATCTCCTCTGCCAAAACTGATTCCTGTGTATACCCTGCAAACTTGTATCTTCACAATATAACCCTTTGAAGCTGCTGTAGCCGGCATTTTCTCTGCCATCAATCATTTTGTTCCCAGGTGTTGTGTAAAAGAACACATTCCTGGTATCCCTTTACATATGTATGCTCAAGCAACAGACTGCACAGCTAAAGTCTGCAGCACCAAGTGGTCAGCAGAGAGAAGTAGGCACATCTAAATGGATCCCGGGGATGTGTTCTTTCATATAATGTTTTGGAAGAGGATGCAAGGCCAGGGTACTATGATGTTTACAGGAGCCTCTGCCCCTCCTGCCAAAGAGCGGCAGACAGACCCATCAGTGAGTCTCAAAACAGGAATTTCTTGAAATCAAAATTATTTGATTGACACATTTTAATTGCATGCAGATCAGAGGAGGGGAGGGAGGGGACCATGAAAGGTATTATATGTGTATATCACACTTCAGCTTTAAAAAAGAATTAGAAATGATGGGGTTGCCTAAATTGAGAGACTGACTCATTGAGGAGAATTTATCAAAATTGGAGCAGACAAAATCTGGAGCAGTTGCCCAGGACTCAAAATTTCCACTCACCTGCTCGCATTTGGCGAGTGGAAATGCAGTGCAGGCGAGTGATAAGTAAACCAACTGGAGAGAGAAGCTGATTGGTTACTATAGGCGAGTGCTCCAGATTCTGTGCTCCAGTGTTGAAAAATTCCCCCCAATATTTTGCCAGTGGAGTGATATCTCAGAATGGGCCTCTTTAGGACTTTTCTAGGACTAAACAATACATAGCAGATAATGCAGCATATTCATAATTTGCATATCTTTTTTTTTCTCCACAGGTCCCCAGAGAGGTATGCTATACTTCCTATGTACATGCAGCTGATATAGAAGATAAGTTGTATTTGTATTGGGTCAACTGAGCATCTAATTCAATTGATGTGTCCATTGTTCTGTTAATATCGCTGGTCTGCTACTGTCCTGGCTACTCTCACTTTCCTTCATTTACATGGTTACTAAACCCTTCTCAGTTACTACTTTTTTAGTTTTGTACAGAGTGGGGAAAGCATAGAACCGCTGCCCATGATTTATCGGTGACGACTGACCCCCTTATTTCTTGTCCTGTTGTCATAGGCTGTCAGAGGGACAGGAAGTGAGGTGTCTGTTGAAATAAATGTTTTCAAAGTAAAACTCCACTTTTGTTGTGGAAAACAAATCTTCATATTTTTTTAAGTCACGTTTTGTAGCTGTTTTCTAAAACTGAGTAAAAACTGAGAGTCTATCTCTTTTATTACATGATAAGTCCTACTCTGGTAAAGAGAAAAGCACTGCATCCTCAAAAGTGGAGTAAAGTAAAGCATGTTGGAGGACCGATTGGTAATTGATGGGAAGAAAAGTCACAGAATAATCTTGTTGACTCTATGGACCTTTATTCCACTTATTGTTTTGCCCTTTTTCATTAGTGTGGTTTGAACAATATTGTTTATGTTTTATTTCATTATAGTAGAGCAGATTCTATTGTAGTGCTGCAGTTTTTAATCTTTGTTGTAGGTTTTTTTTTCACACTGATTCACTGTAGCAGTTTATTTAGAATCATTTTGTTTAGATAGGCAGCCCAGAAACATATATGTTTTTTATCCACACTGGAAAAGATTTTCCCCCACTTCCACTTCCACTTGATTGTGGTCACTGAGATCATAAGTGAGTCGCAACCTCTCCAATAGGGACACCGAGGGCAATAAAAACTATCTTTTAGTAGGTATCTATACAGTACATTGCTGTCCATGTCCCTACTTGGGAGTGTGTCCTTCAGTTCCTGTATCAGTGTCAGGGGTCACTGGCACAAGAAGGGAGGAGAAATCGTCTCAAATGGGACATTGACTGCACCAAAAAAAAACAACACAGGTCTTGACCTATCTCTACTATCCAAAACTAAATCGTTTTTACCTGAAGTTCTACTTAAAATATCATCTTCTTAAATGTCCATTTCCTTTTCTCTTTATACTTTGCCTGTTTGTAACTATTTCTAATCACTGCTCTTATTCAGTTATGTTTAAATACTTTATATTCTTTTATTGCATTTTTTTGTATAGTTACCCCTGTGAAAGAAATCCTTATGTCAATCAACCTAAGCTTTTGCTGAATTATATATACATTTTTATTTTATTCTAACTGTCCTTCTTTGCCAACCTCAAAGTAACATGATATATCCCCTGCTTCATTAGTTCTTGGGACAGTCAGCTGTGCATCTCAAGCGTGACTTCTTCCTAGCAAACGCATCCCGCGCACGTTCCGAGCAGTTCATTAACCTACGAGAAGTCAGCACCCGGCACAAGCTTCCCCCCGGGGAATACATAGTAGTGCCTTCCACCTTTGAAGCCAATGTTGAGGGAGATTTTGTCCTGAGAGTCTTTTCAGAAAACCGACATGGGACTGTGTAAGTGACAATGGCAACTAAAGATCACGATCAAGAGCAATGTTTTTATACCAGTGAGACTTGGTCATAAATAATGAGGGAATATGGCCAGGTTTTTATTCACATTATGGTTACCAAATGTGTTATTTTATTGGGGAACTGAGGTAGCTTTTAATTTATCCATTTTTTTATTTTATTCTGTGATTTGAGCCATTTATAAAGACACTAAAATACAAATTGTAAAAGTTTACAAAAAAAAAACCTCAACTAAATAAAGGAGTTAATTAAATTTAAATAATTAATAACTGAATTAAATTTAATTAGAGTTATATAATTTTGAAAGGGGGGTTAAACCGTTATTTAAAAAAACCCCAACCTTTTTGAATTTACGAGCAACACCAATTTGTGACTGAGGGCTGCAATAACTGAACCTGTAAGGAATAGAGGTCTAATACACAGGCTTAATAGTAAGTGCTATAAAGGTGCCTCTGTTACCTTTAGCGGTCTCCGTGCTGCCCCAGTCTACTTGTAAAATTCCTAGGCAGATGTCAGCTTTCTGAATGTCAGTACTTTCTTGAGGCTAACCATCATCCCCCACCTGCACATTCCAGTAATTGAGCCTGGCAATTGGCTGCTTAGGCACTAGGCGCTGAATGGTGAGCTGTGGGGACGTGTCATATGTTCCCCCCCTATGGCCAGAAATACTGGGTTTATATTAGGTTTCTTGCAGCGAAGTGGGGAATTAAGCTACAGCTTAAAAATAGGTCTCAACCCAATGACTTAAAACTCTTATAAGCTTTACCGCTTCAATGTGATTCAAAGCCTTTAACTCTGCAGCTTTCATTAAAAGAAAACCCGGTGATCCTGACATAAAGGTCCCTGTTCTGGCTCTTTTTGTTTTGAGGTGACAACTGTCTGCACCTCTAATGGAGACTGCAAGCAGAGGCCTGGTCCACTGTTAGGCCACTAGGTCATTAGGAAGTCAGTCCAGAGAAATGATAAGTAGCTGATGCTGGAGCAAGTACACATAGACAGGAAGTGGCTAAACAATGCTGAAGGAGATCAGCAGTACTGAGATGTAAAAGAAGACTAAACTAATGAAAGTAAAAGCATGGCAGTTGTATATGATGCACGGTGCTTTAGAAAACTAAATTTTATCCATTTAGGGTTTTGATTTAGAAAATCTGTTCATCAGAGTAATGTCTCAGAACATGGTACAGTCCCACCAAGGTGGCTGTACTTGACTCAAAATATTTTATTAACTTTTTTTTTTTTAAATAATAAGGTTTTATTAAGCATTTTGGTACAATAATACAATGAACCGAAAAGAAAAAATAAGGAGACCAGGAAGAGATCAAGACAACATAGGGGCTGTCAGACACGATGCAATAGGAGACATTGGCATAAATATACACATTAGCCTTCAGGCTGATCCCATTCAGTATGCAGCAGCATCGAAGAGTTAAGACGTAGGGTCAATGCCGTGTAATTTCAGTAGTAAAGTGCATCTCAAACAAAAAAATATTTTATTAACTTAAATATTAATACTGGCTTAAAAGGAATCATACTGCAGATTGACAGTTCAAAGATGTATCATTCTTATTTTATTGTGAAGTTGTGATCTATGTTCATAACTGGGGCATTTGGAAGGACCGAAATTAGCAGGGACTGTTCCTGGAAATCAGAGACAATAAATATGCTACCGATCACCAGAGATTGTATTACAACAAGACTACAAGTGTCAGTATGACGTTTCTCTGTGAATATACACTATATTACCAAACGTATTGGGACACGCCTCCAAATCATTGGATTCAGGTGTTCCGTGAAATTTCCTTGCTACTAAATATTCCACGGTCAACTGTTAGTGGTATTATAACAAAGTGGAAGCAACTGGGAACAACAGCAACCCAGCCAGGAAGTGGTAGGCCACATAAAATGACAGAGCGGGGTCAGCACATGCTGAAGTGCACAGTACACAGAAGACGCCAACTGTCTGCAGAGTCAATACCTACAGACCTCTAAACTTCGTGTGGCCTTCAGATTGGCACAACAACAGTGCGTAGAGAGCTTCATGGAATGGGTTTCCATGGCCGAGCAGCTGCATCCAAGCCTTACATCACCAAGTGCAATGCAAAGCATCGGATGCAGTGGTGTAAAGCAAGCCGCCACTGGACTCTAGGGAAGTGGAGATGTATGCTCCGGAGGGACGAATTAAGCTTCTCTGTCTGGCAATCCAATGGACGTGTCTTCGTTTGGCGGTTGCCAGGAGAACGGTACTTGCCTGACTGCATTGTGCCAAGTGTAAAGTTTGGTGGAGGGGGGATTATGGTGTGGGGTTGTTTGTCAGCGGTTGGGCTTGGTCCCTCCGTTCCAGTGAAGGGAACTCTTAAGGCATCAGCATACCAAGACATTTTGGACAATTTCATGCTCCCAACTTTGTGGGAACAGTTCGGGGATGGCCCCTTCCTGTTTCAACATGACTGCGCACCAGTGCACAAAGCTAGGTCCATAAAGACATGGATGAGTGAGTTTGGGATGGAAGAACTTGACTAGCCTGCACAGAGTCCTGACCTCAACCCGATAGAACACCTTTGGGATGAATTAGAGCGGAGACTGCGAGCCAGGGCTTCTCATCCCATATCAGTACCTGACCTCATAAATGTGCTTCTGGAAGAATGGTCAAACATTCCCATAGACACACTCCTAAACCTTGCGGACGCCTTCTTAGAAGAGTTGAAGCTGTTATAGCTGCAAAGGGTGGGCCAACTCAATATTGAACCCTACGGCCTAAGACTGGGATGCCATTAAAGTTCATGTGCGTGTAAAGATAGGTGTTCCAATACTTTTGGTAATATAGTGTATCTGTTAGCTTGATACTGCTTTCAGCAGGGATATAGTTAGTGTCATCTGGATCCTGGTACAGATTATGAACCAGAACCTCCCAGGATTTCATTACCTGCTATGTATACATGGTTCACACAATGTAGCAAACATTGATAATAAAGACTGTTGTGTCCATTACCCACCAAAATAATTATTCTGCTGATGCAACAATGGAAGTATGCGTTCTTTAATACTCATGATATCCATTGTTTACCTTAACTATTAGGATCCCACATAGTACTCTTGTGAAAATTGGCAAGTGGTGGTGCCTTTCCTTCAGTATCATCCAGACACTTTTCTGACTTTAGCTGAACATCATACAATCTGATAGGCAGAGGTAACTGGGAGGGTGTGGAGGAGGGGCTTAACCAAACTTTTGTAATATTAGCCAGTCACACTCTTTAGAAAAGTAAATTTAGAAAATTGAAACATACTAAAATATATACTTTGTTTATATGAAAAGTTGAAAAAGAGGTTTAAGAAATATACATCTAATATGGAGCAGAAGTAGAGATTATATTTTGTTTTTTTCTTTCAGTGAAATGGATGATCCAATAACTGCTGTCTTACCTGAAGAGGTTAGTAGCTAAAGAGAAAGCATCACATTACTATGCAGTCTTTTTGCTTTATGCACAAATATAGATAGCTATAGTGTTCTTTTTATTGTGTGTCTTCATCACTTGAAAGTAACTGTATAATTTAGTTTTAAATAAAATGTGTAGATCTCCAGTACTAATAAGCTGCTACCCTAAGTGACAAGGGGACACTCCTTGCGTCTAGAGGAAAAAAGGTTTAACCTTCACCTAAGGAAAGGCTTCTCTACAGTAAGAACTGTAAAAATGTGGAATATTCTTCCTCAGGAGCTAGTGCTAGCCAGCTCCTATAGACCAGTGGTTCTCAACCTTTCTAGGGCCGGGATACATTTGCCAAGTTGTGGTGACCCCCAACGGAGCGCTGGAATTAGTAAGGCACTGGACTTGGGACTAAAAATAAAAGCACACTCACAAGAATACAAGCCCTCCCCAGCCCCTGCTACCTGCTTGCCCGCTCTGTCTCCATGAAGCCTTCTCAGCCCCAGCACTGCTTAGACGCCCGACTCCAGCAGAGCTCACATTGTATGGGAGGCAGGAAGACAGCAGCGGCTGTGAATAGAAAAGCCCTGCTGTACACACTCCCCAGCCACTAGATGTCGCTGCAGCGGCCAGGGAGTGTGTACAGCGGCACTTTTATATTCACAGCCTCTGCTGTCCTCCCACTGACTGACACTGCTGCGCTAGGAGGAGACTGAGGAGCCTCTCACCTAGCGCAGCAGAAGTGGATCCTGCAACCCCCTCAACAGTGAGTTGCGACCCACTTTTGGGTCATGACCCACAGGTTGAGAACCGCTGCTATAGACTATTTCACAAAAGCTGTATGTGTTTCTAAATGCATTAAAAAAATGCATTGGCTGCCAGTTGATCCAGGAATATCTGATTGCCTTAGGGCAGGGGTGGATAAACTCTGGCCCTCCAGCTGTGGTGAAACTACGAATCCCATGATGCATCTGTCTCTGGGAGTCATGTCTGTGGCTATGAGAATCTTTCAATTGCCTGGTGGGATTTGTAGTTCCTCAGCAACTGGAGTGCCGGAGTATGCCCACCCCTGCCTTAGGGGATCAGGAAAGAACTTGCAAATTGAACAATGCTTTATAAGATTGTTTTGCCTCCTCTGGATCAACTGTGGGCTTACGGTCCTATGGATGCAGGTTTTTTGTTTTTTCATTTTTCTGTTGGTTGTATTTGATGGACATGTGTCTTTTTTCAACCCGACTATGTAACAATAGGAGGAAATGATTGGTCTTAATAAATATGTGCCACACCTGCAACTGGAAAAGCAGACTGTACATCCTCAAATTCCAAGCTGCCAGTTATTTCTAGGGCTGCAATTTCAACACATATCCACCAGGTTGTAGGCATTCTACACCATAGATTTTGGAACATTTATACAAATGCAGGGCTGCCCAGTGAATGATACATTAGTGGAATTAAACACTGATGGGAAATTCATACTGAAATGTCCTTGGATGTTCCACCATTTTGCTTTTTTTCTTGTGCCAGGATCATTTAATGTGTTAGAATTACATGTGCAAACTTTATACCTTTTTAATACTTTGGTTTTTGTATGTATTTCCAGGGAGCTGTAACCGAAGCAGACCTTGATCAAGGATTTAAAAACCTTTTCAAACAACTTGCTGGTGCGGTATGTACACAATAAGAATATATATTACTAAGCAGTATGTTTTTGTTGCGGTATATATACCACCAAAGAAAGCTCTATTTGTCCCCAGAAAATGGTATAACATTCTTTTCAGTACAGCGTTGCATGACGGAATAAATGTCAGTCAAAGTACCGCAGCGCTAAATACTGAAAAATGGCCTGGCGAGGAAAGGGGTTTAACACCCTGGTCTTCAAGTGGTTAAATTTTTTTAAATTGGTATTTATTTTATTATTTTTGACTTTTTTTATCACTTAACTTTATTGCTATCACACAAGGGCTATAAGCCACAAGCTTTCTATATATGCATTTAGCATTCGTGCACTGGCATGAACACTGAAAGCCCCAATAGGATAGCACCAAATCATTGTATTGTGGTTGGGATAACCTCTGCGCCCCTCATAGTCAAACCCTCCTCTGTATAGACAGCTATGTGCATGTATTTGTTGCCTCCCATTGACACCTCTGTTTTTATTACACAGGACATGGAGGTTAGCGTTCAGGAGCTACAGGCCATATTAAATAAAATTATATCCAAACGTAAGTATCAGCACAGAATTTCCGCACAAAGCCTAACATTAGGTAAATAAACATCTCAGTAAAGGTGGCCATACACTTTACAACCCTCGCAAGACTCTTGTCTTGCGAGGGTTGTAAAGTAATTAAAAAAACGTACGATCTGCTCATCTTGGATAGGCAGATCGTACTTGCGACCGATGACTGCAATGCTGAACGGCAGTGTGCACGTGCGCACACCGGCCCGTTCGGCAGTTGTCGAACAAGCAGGCCACTAACCCGCCGAGAATCGTACGATTCTCGGCGGGCTTTCCAACCTGCTTGCTCGACAGAAGACGTGCGACCGTACAGTAGAAACAGTCGCACGCCTTCCATACACTTTGCGATTATCGCACGATCGCGGGATTTCCCTCGATTCTCGTACGATAATCATACAGTGTATGGGCACCTTAACACCCTGTCTATCCCTGAAGTCTAACCAGCTTGACTGCAATACAGTTTTTATTTTTGGCCCTTTCAGAACCACCATGAGGTTCCATGCCATCCATAAAGGGTATGGAGACTTGTTGCTCCTGACCTTTTTGAGTTCTCTGCATTCCATATTTTGATCTTTATATTACCTTGGAATGTACATTTTGTCTTAATTGCAGTGATGATTTTTTTACCCATTCTCAAGTGGTTACAAAGTGCATGCTTGCATAGTGCCGGTCCCAAGTTCTCTGCTTGATAGAAAAGGGAAGTGGGAGTTTAGGTTTTTATGCTAGTTGAGAGTTAATGTGGTGGCATCTCAGCACCTTTTGTGAGACCATGGGGTTGATTTACTAACCTTATAAACACGCCACGAACAAGTATACACCTCTGTATTGTGTTCCCTCCCAGCATGATCTATTGGTGGAATCTAGATACCTTTGTAGTGTGTACACACCCAGCAAGTGTGTTGTGCAAAGCCCTGCATGAATTGCAAGGTGATGTTGTGTAAATTAGCTCTACGTTGTGTTGCTTGCGTTGATGAATGCAGGAATGTAAATGCATGAGCGAACCATTTTTGTCTAAACTGTGAAGCAGCATTATATATGCATCATGTGCATGATTTTTCCATATATGGCATTAGCGGAAATATGCTTTTAGAAACTTGCATGCCGCTATTAGAGCGGGGTGTAGCCTATGGCGCATGCTACATGACGCGCACGTGCGTAAATACATAAAAACGCCCCATAACGGCGTGAAAATGTGACACGTTGCTCGTGTTTGGTTGATAAATACGTTTTGCTGTGTAACAATGCACCTGGTGCGTGCGTGTGTTTAGGTTAGTAAATCACCCCCCATGACTCCTAGTAACATGTAAAAGTACATTTGCATGTTTACTTTAAAGTAGTTGGTGTAGATTTGTACCGTGGTTTGGGATACACTGCCAAATACAACACAGATCTTCCCCATATTTTTGGATATGAGGAAGGATTAGAGTCTCTGTAAAAAAATGTTTGGCTGTCTGTGTCCGGAGTGTTGGAGATTTCTCATCACTTCTTGTCAAGGGTGTCACACAGTATAGGTTGTGAGGGGAAATCGCACTTCCAGTTAATTTAACTAGTGTTAGGCCTCAACCACACTGCCGCGCATATAAGCGCGTACGTGCGTATTGTACCATATGCAACATATGCAAATAAATGGCTCCATATGTAATGAAATATGCAAACATATGCAAATAAATGGCTCCATATGGCCGCGTATGGAGCCGTATATTTGCGTAGCGTATATATGCGCAAAACCAGAATGGAACAGAGATGCATCCTTGCAGCGTATTTACGCGCACATACGCGTATATACGCGTGTACATGCGTACAGCACATTAAAATTCCATTACGAGTGATGCATTCTGGGATTGCATATAGTGCACGCATATACGCTCGTATATACGCGCATAGACACTCGCATATACGCTCGTACATACGCGCATAGACGCGTATATAAGCAATATACAATTTTGCTTGCGTTGTGTGTGAATGAGGCCTTAGACACAAGAGCAGAAGAGAAAGTACTTTAGTTATTAGTTATACACAAAGTGCCTGGTGGACTAAGTCTGCATTAACTTCTTATGTCTTGGATACTACAACAGTAAAATCTCCGTGGGAGAATTCCTGACACTGTTCCTGTCACCTGCGAGTTCCGGGTATTTTTTCCACCTTTGGGTGTTTCGTGCTTCTTGCTGCATTCTCCATTATTGAAGATAAATAATAAAATCCAACAATTAGGCTGGAATGACACAGCTGCAGTGCAGTAACACATGTACACTAATGCACATTATGTTATGTGAACATGAGTTGTGCCAAGGCAACCCATTCATTTGAATGCTACAACCCATGCCCTTTGGCAAGGTGTGTTGAAGTGCCATCAAGTATAAATGATACAATGGTGCACCAACTTGCGTTTTTGCATATTGAGTTAACGTGCCTGCCAACATATTCATTACTGCAGCCTAAGAATGGGACCCCCTCATATTGGCAGGTGTGCAGACCCAGAAACCCAAAAACTGACATCTTACCAATAGAGTCCCAAAGAGCACAAAATAAATTATAAGGTCGTTTAACTCTCTATCATCTACCAAATAATGAAGTATCAGGTTTCCTTTTTAAGGAATTTTTTACAATACTTGGGAAAGAAGGACACACTGCAGTAAATGGGACTGTAAAGTACAGTGCTTGCTGGAAATGTAAATAGAGTTTGACTGTTTTATTTTAATCTTGGCACAGTAACAGATGAATATTGATTGTAATCTGTTTTTTCCCAATGCAGATAAAGACCTTCGCACTAAAGGATTTAGCTTGGAGTCGTGCCGCAGTATGGTGAATCTTATGGATGTATCCTTTCAGGTTCAATGCAAAGTCCTTTAAGCTATCATATACAGTATGTCAGTGCTATATACTCAACAATTTCTTTGGCCCCAAAAGCCATCTAATCAAATGTTAAAGTGTACCTACACTGCGATTAGGTTGAAAAGCTGAACTGTAGCTCCTAGAAATGCACACAGGAAGCAAAGTACAGTACAGCAAAGTACAGAAGGAAAGACCAGTGAGATCTGCCTGTAGGCGGGGTTCACTCTTGGGGTGTTGCGTGTGTGTTCCCTTTGGGTTGGCTGGGTAACCCCTTGCATGCAACTCGAAACCAGACACCCCACGGTCAGGGGCCACGGCCTTGGCCTCGTGCAAACACTCCCACCGTGTAGTACTGCGTACACAGGTCCTCATGGCTTTAACCGCCTCTGCGGTCTTCGGCGCTTCCTCCCCCTTAGGGAGAAAGGCCACCATGAACGGCACCCTGTGTCAGGCATAGCCCCATTGCGCACCTACCCTCCTCAGATGGTTACAGCCACGATACAGTCAAACATCACACTCCTGTAGAACCCCACCTTCTCAGAGGTTGGAGGGAGAAGAACCAGTCCACACAGATGTCTTTTTGTTGATTTTACTTGAAGGTAGAAACAGAACAAAGTATACGTTTCAGCCACCCCCGAGTGGGATGACGGCACAATTCTTGTTACTTGTATGGTGATACAATTTAGAGAGAGAGAGGTACATCAGCCCAGGTGCAGCCCAGAGTCACGACTTACTTTGGCCATAGGCCCACTGGCAAATATCGTCAGTCTTCTAGCACTTCACTATTTTCCGGAATCCCATCCATTGTCAGTCCTAGCATGGTGGGTTTCCCCCTGTGGGGAAACTAGGGAATCTTTGTAGCTCTACATAGTCCTAGGCCTGGTCCTGTCCTTCCCATGGACCAGCCTATATTCAAGAAACAGTCTCTCTCCAGAGACTCTGCAGACAGTCTTAGACTTCTCCTGTACTCCTCTGAACTGAACTCCTTCCCCTCTCGGGCGCCCCCTATAAATCAACTCTCCTGAGACACAGAGTCTTCCCAGGCCAGAGCTGCATCTATCTCCAGGGCCCCATGGGGGCATCTAGTGGCCGTTGGCCATACTGCACCTACCTACATGCCCCATCACATGCAACTAACTATCTGGTATTCATAGCACTGAGGATAATTGCCCCAGGCACACATAAATGACTTCTCAGTATCTATGCCCTTAGTAGGTTCTCCATTCCAGCACACACTGCAGTCCCAGTATCCATGACACCAGCACTAACAACTCACACCCCAGTATTACTGTCACCAGTGAGATCTGCATTCCAAAACTAACAACTCACACCCCAGTATTCATGTCACCAGTGAGACCTGCATTCCAAAACTAACAATTCACACCCCAGTATTAATGTCACCAGTGAGATCTGCACTCCAAAACTAACAATTCACACCCCAGTATTCATGTCACCAGTGAGACCTGCATTCCAAAACTAACAATTCACACCCCAGTATTAATGTCACCAGTGAGATCTGCACTCCAAAACTAACAACTCACACCCCAGTATTCATGTCACCAGTGAGATCTGCATTCCAAAACTAACAATTCACACCCCAATGTCACCAGTGAGATCTGCACTCCAAAACTAACAACTCACACCCCAGTATTCATGTCACCAGTGAGATCTGCACTCCAGCACTAACAACTCACACCCAGTATAGTGCAAATAAAAAAACCTGTAATCGACAAAACTTGCATCTCTGTACTTACAAAGAGCATGTACCCAGGCAATCCAACCTCCACTTGAATGTCAGGTCATCATATACATGAAACGACTCCCACTTCTGCAAAGCTGGCAAAAGGAGGGATAACATGCAGGTAAAAAAGGCTGTAAATGACACTGAGTACACCAGGTGTTAAACTCTTGTCTAGAATGGTTAGCACAGCTGGGGGGGCCCAGTTTGCATCCTGGAATGAATGAACTCCATTTACATGTTTCGAGACCAGGGGCAGACTGACAACACATGGGGCCCCCCAGCAATACAATATTATGGGGCCCCCTTGTGCTCCACCCATATACAAGCCCCATCCACAGCCAAAGGGCTGCTGTACGGGCTATACACAATATTCACTACAGCCCGTACAGCAGCCGAGCATCAGCCCAGGTGCAGCCCAGAGTCACGACTTACTTCGGCCATAGGCCCACTGGCAAATATCGTCAGTCTTCTAGCACTTCACTATTTTCCGGAATCCCATCCATTGTCAGTCCTAGCACGGTGGGTTTCCCCCTGTGGGGAAACTAGGGAATCTTTGTAGCTCTACATAGTCCTAGGCCTGGTCCTGTCCTTCCCATGGACCAGCCTATATTCAAGAAACAGTCTCTCTCCAGAGACTCTGCAGACAGTCTTAGACTTCTCCTGTACTCCTCTGAACTGAACTCCTTCCCCTCTCGGGCGCCCCCTATAAATCAACTCTCCTGAGACACAGAGTCTTCCCAGGCCAGAGCTGCATCTATCTCCAGGGCCCCATGGGGGCATCTAGTGGCCGTTGGCCATACTGCACCTACCTACATGCCCCATCACATGCAACTAACTATCTGGTATTCATAGCACTGAGGATAATTGCCCCAGGCACACATAAATGACTTCTCAGTATCTATGCCCTTAGTAGGTTCTCCATTCCAGCACACACTGCAGTCCCAGTATCCATGACACCAGCACTAACAACTCACACCCCAGTATTACTGTCACCAGTGAGATCTGCATTCCAAAACTAACAACTCACACCCCAGTATTCATGTCACCAGTGAGACCTGCATTCCAAAACTAACAATTCACACCCCAGTATTAATGTCACCAGTGAGATCTGCACTCCAAAACTAACAATTCACACCCCAGTATTCATGTCACCAGTGAGACCTGCATTCCAAAACTAACAATTCACACCCCAGTATTAATGTCACCAGTGAGATCTGCACTCCAAAACTAACAACTCACACCCCAGTATTCATGTCACCAGTGAGATCTGCATTCCAAAACTAACAATTCACACCCCAATGTCACCAGTGAGATCTGCACTCCAAAACTAACAACTCACACCCCAGTATTCATGTCACCAGTGAGATCTGCACTCCAGCACTAACAACTCACACCCAGTATAGTGCAAATAAAAAAACCTGTAATCGACAAAACTTGCATCTCTGTACTTACAAAGAGCATGTACCCAGGCAATCCAACCTCCACTTGAATGTCAGGTCATCATATACATGAAACGACTCCCACTTCTGCAAAGCTGGCAAAAGGAGGGATAACATGCAGGTAAAAAAGGCTGTAAATGACACTGAGTACACCAGGTGTTAAACTCTTGTCTAGAATGGTTAGCACAGCTGGGGGGGCCCAGTTTGCATCCTGGAATGAATGAACTCCATTTACATGTTTCGAGACCAGGGGCAGACTGACAACACATGGGGCCCCCCAGCAATACAATATTATGGGGCCCCCTTGTGCTCCACCCATATACAAGCCCCATCCACAGCCAAAGGGCTGCTGTACGGGCTATACACAATATTCACTACAGCCCGTACAGCAGCCGAGCGGCTCAGCCAAGCCGAAACCCATAGGCTTCAGCTTGGCTGAGTCGTATTCACAGCTGAAGCAGGGAGAAAGGCCAGCTGAAGCCGACTGATCTCCACGCAGATCACAGCTGGGCGGAGCCAGCCGTGATTTCACGGCTGGCTCCACCCAGTTGTAATAACAGATCAGCGTCCCCAAATGACCAGGGGATGCTGATCTGTCATTAAACAATAACTGGGCGGAGTCGGCCGTGACATCACAGCCGGCTCCACCCAGTTGTTATTTATTGTCCGGGACCTACTAGAAGACTCTGGCAGGTGCCGGCCAATAGGAAACAGGATGTGTGTTGTTGTTTTTTTCTTTAAAATATTTTACATTTTTTTTAAACGTTTTTTAAACAATTTTTCTACATTTTTTTTTGTTCTCATTCATTTAACTTTTTTTTTATATTCTGTTAGCTACCACGGAGGTACTGAGCAGAATAGCCGAGCCAAATGCTGTTTGCGGCATTTGGCTATTTACTTACTGCCGTTTGGCCCCTATGAGAATAGGGGTGAACGGCTGTGAGTGAGCTGACCGAAGGCAGCCGATGTACAGCTGATTTTAGCCCATGTACGGCTGAAATCAACCGTACAAGGCTGAAGTGAATAGCCGAACAGCGTTCAGCTCACTTCACTTCGGCTCCGTTATTCACTCAGTGAATAACCCCCATAGCGTTTGCACACGGGACGCAAGCGATATATGTGAAACAACTGCACGGATTCCGCTCGTTTGCAGCTATTATATAGCCGCGAACAAGCAGAATCCGCTGGATTATCGCGCTTACACTATTTTGGGGGCCGTGCGGTTTTGTACCGTGCGGTTTCCCACAGTAGTCTGATAAAGCACATATAAGTGCATTGTTTTTTCTGTTTAGAGCGGCTCCGCTCGTATTTAGACAGCCACTACAGTGTTAATGGAGCTTTAACCCGCACGACCCCCAAAATACTGCTAGCGCGATAATCCAGCGCATTCCGCATGTTCACGCCTATATAATGGCCGCAAACTAGCGGAATCCATGCAGTTCACGAATAGCGTTTGCGTCCCGTGCGGGCTCACACGTGAAAAACCGCTTGGGAAGCGCAAATGCTGTATGTGAATGGAGACTAAAAGGTTAACAGTTTACAGCTAAAAAATAAAAAGTCATTAAATTCACTTACCAGCATCAGGGCTCCCGATCCCCAGGTTCCAGTCTGTGTTTTTGTAGAACTGCTCTAGTGGGGGGCCCAGGGCCGGATCTCAGTGGGGCCCCCCTAGCATGAGGCTCTCGTACCTCCGTTCGCCCTCCACGGTAGGTCCGCCCTCTGTCCACTGCGACACTCCCCCATCCACTGCGGCACACCCCCACCTCGGAGCTCTTCTCGGCCGCGCCGCTGTAGGAGATGCGGCTCTGCTAAAGCGGCGACGGCAGTGTATAGTGGGCCCGGGAGGCGGGCGACACTGTCGTTGCCGCTTTAATAAACCCGCGTCCTCTTTCATGCGGGCTGAAAAGGGCATGGGGGTCGGTGACGGGCCCCCTCTTTAGCCGCCCGTATGGTCAGTCCGCCCCTGTTTGAGACCCTACCCCATAATCAGAGGCTCTGGAAGGGTTTTTAGTAGTTAACTTGCTTTTTCCACCTGCACGCTATCCCTCCTCCTTTTACCAGCTTTCCAGAAGTGATAGCTGTTTGTATGATGACCTGACCTTCATCGCAGGTTGTTTTGCATGGTTACATGCTTTGATCAAGCCACAACTTTGTAAGTGCAATATATCGATAGGGTGTTTTATCTGACCGGTGCACTCTGTTTTGTTCTATTTCTGTTTTCAGCTATATGTGCCTTGGATATACGTGAAACTTGCAAGAACGAGCAGTCTGCCTTAGTTCCTCTCTATTACATACAATACCTAATACCTTTCTATTAAACACACTGCCTCATAACTCCTTGTTACTCAAAATGCCTCATATGTCTCTCTTACACGCAGGGCCTCATACCCATCTGTTACACACAATGCTTTATACTTCTCTGTTACATGCAGTACCTATATTGGTTTCTATTACCCACAATCCCTTACATGTACTATAACTATGCATTATGCCACACAGTGCCTGTGTGTTAGTTCAACACTGTCCTTCATGCATCTGTGTTCCACACATTGTCTTGTACCTCTATGCCAGAGCTGTAGCTAGCTTCTTTCGCGCCCGAGGCAAGAACAGAAAATTGTGCACCCCCCCCAACAGATATGTGACGTCACCCATCGCCGCGCATTTACACCCCACCTTCAGGATGACAGCATATGTGCAGAAAGCGCCGGTAGCCGAATCCAAAATAGCATAACATTTTGTTTCGTTTGACGAAACTAATGAAAACATTTTTAGCTTCTGTTCATTTCGTCCGAAAACAAATTTTTAGTCTTTGCACATGTCTAATAATAAGCCCCCTTCACTGTTATACACAGTATCTATTATGTCTGTGTTACAGGCAGTACCTGATACTTATAGTGGCTTATGCTGCTTTGCAACTCCTATTGCTTTATGCTACTCTATTAAATGATTTTGTTTCATGCCTCTCTTTTACACACACCAACTTATTAAATAGGCCTGTTTTTTACATTGTGGTTACTCCACATACTGTAAAAGAGTTCTACAGCCATAACAAACTGGTGTGTGGGAAGAGGCATTGATGTATCTGGCTTGAGTCTTGTAAGCAATGTCGGTGATAGAGAACTGTAGGTAGTGAATATGGCACATCATACTGATAAAGCAGCATGCTAGTCATCATCCAAGGAGATGAGAGACCTCCACTTCGCAGCTATCCTGGAATGGCAATAATCCTAGCAGGTAGTGCATCTCAAGTAGAAATCCCATTCTTTCCTATAGGGTTGGTTCTCATCTAAACATTGCAGTTTAGTGTGTAAATGAAACTAGAAACTACATGGGCCCATTCACACCTTCACGTGTGCAACCCATCCTCAAACAAAACTTGATTCAAAATATGTGTGGACAGTTCTAGAATCTTCTTAGAGCTAACTAAAATCTCCCAACTTACCCAATAGTAGTTTAATATTGTCTTATCCCTTTTTTATGAATATGTTAAATGAATTTGAGTCCACACACATTTAGGATTTCTGTAGAATTCTGTCTAAATGTAACAGATTGTACTATCCAGTTGTGTGCCATCATCTGTAGATTTATTGTTACTCTAGTCCAGTGATGGCGAACCTTTTTGAACCCGAGTGCCCAAACTGCGACGCAAAATCAATTTATTTATCTCAAAGTGCCAGCGCTGAAAATAAGATTGGTATTGCAGTTTGGGCGATCAGGTTTAAGAAACGTTCAACATCACTGCCTTATGGCCTTGTACGGCTCTCACGGGGGACCCGAACGTCCAGGATCGCCTCTGTAGTCGGGCGGGTCACAATCAGGCAGTGGCGGTGAGCTCTAAACAGACAGATTAGACGGCCGCTTGCGGGGGCCTCCCGGGGTCCTAGCGAGGAAGAAGCAGCCGTCTAACCTACCTGTATTGGCCGCCACTGCCTAATTGTGACTGGCCCGGATCGCATACCAAGGCGATCTGGGTCAGTCGGATCTATTTCAATTGGTGGTCCCTGAACGCAGTGGTGTATTCTGGTTTGGGGCTGCCCTAGGCAAGGCAAAACTCGGGCGCCCCCACCCCCACTAAATTTACCCCACCCCTTCCTGTTTAATACTTTTTGCGTGACCTGTCAGTCGCTGGATACAGTGCAAACACTGTATCCAGCTTTTGACATGTTCCGCTATTAGCATAGCAGGAAAGCTGTGGTCTCAGGGGGGCTTAGCAGGATTTGTGGTGAGCTCTGTGGGGTACTTGGCGACGCCTCCTCCATATCGGTTTCTGCCTTTGCCTCTTCCTTGTCTTCACAGGACTCTTCCATCTCCCTCTGTCTCCGCCCCCTGTCTCATGCCGCTCCGTCCCCGTCTCCTCACGTACTCTCATCTCCGCCTTGATCTCACTCTGTCTCCGGCCCTGTCTCATGCCGCTCAGTCCCCCGTCTCCTCCCATCCTCTTTCATCTCCGCCCCCATCTGCCTCTGTCTCCCCCCCATCTATGAAGTATTGGGTGTTGATCTTGTTAAGGGACATAGACATTTTTGCACCTATGTATTATTTTGTGAATTATCTGTGCCCCCCTTCTCTTGCCAGTATGACATCTTGATCAAATGTAGTTAAAGTGACACTAAACTCAGGAGTTAAATCTTAAAAATGCATTCAAGTGCCTCAGCTATTAACAATACTGGACCTTATTTGTGTATCACTCGGCTCTAGATCCTGAAATCACCTCTGAATTGATGCCGGCACTGTCCTTCCTTCTGGAGGGTGGCTACTTTTATTCCCCATGGTCCCTGTGTGTTGTAAAGTAGTCACTGCTCCAAGATCACTCCTGTTATAGACTATAATTTCAACACAAATTAGTAAACTAAACGTGAGATTGTAGTCCATCACAGGAGCGAGCTTGGAACAGTCGCTACTTTACAACACACAGAGGGACAATGGGGAACAAAAGTAGCCACCCTCCAGAAGGAAGGACAGTGTCAGCACCAATTCACAGATGGTTTGAGGATATACAGCGATACACAAATAAGACACATTTATGTTAATAGTTAAGGCACATATATGAATTTTTATGATTTAACTCCCGAGTTTAGTGTCACTTTAAATGCAGTTTCAGTTTTATTTTATAATCCGTACAAATGGCATTCAGGATGTGCAGAGGGTGGACCCTCTGCACATTGCAGATTTTAATTTACTGGAGTCAGCTAAGTGATTTCTGGTTGCAACAGGTTACTGCACTTTGCACATCCCCATTGTTCTGATTTGCTTTCAGGTTCCTCTTATCTTGCTTTCATTAGGAAGCAAACCCCTGTAAGGAATTTTATCAGCCATACACCATTACAAATTACCCATTCAAGGGAACGGGCCATTCACTTTCTCTTTAAAACAAACAAATGTTACTATTGTTATGGTGTGGACTTTATTTTTTTTGTTAGCAGCTTTAGATGGCAAGGAAAAATTGACACTAGGCAGGATTCTCTGAGCTTAGATGTATCAGATGTAGAGTGTTGTTCTTAACTCCTGTGCTACAGAAAGATGGAAATGGCAAACTAGGAATTTTGGAGTTTAATATCCTGTGGAATAAAATCAAACATTACCTGGTAAGATTTAAATGGTTTATAATGGCTGCCTGGTACACTATTGGTGACACGCACCCATGCAAAATGATTTGATTTTTGTGCAATTACTGGGGGGATTGCTTATACTGTATATTTGGAGACAGCCTAAAGGGGTGGGCAGAGATTCATGGTGATCTCACTGCTGGGATGTCCAAGTGCTAGCTGATGGGATGAAGTTGCTCTTTTATCTTTTGTGGACTCCAGTGGTAAGAGCTCCCTAACATATTTTTTGCCTTTGCTCCCCCCCCTTGGAGTTTTGGGTGTTCTGCCTACTATGGGGTGCTTGCACTCACATTGTATTTTCTACAATGTAAAAAGAATTACACATTCTACAGAGAGATTGTCAGGTGTGCATGGGAACTCAAGAGCAGAAACTGCATGTATACAAATCTTTTCAGTTTAACTCTCCTTCATCTACCAAAAATGTATGTGCATGTTATGCATAGATTAATGAGATGAACTCAAACTCCAGCTTCTTTTTTTGGAGGTTGTAAAGTTTAGAACTTCCATTAGGTTATTATTGCTTTGTCCTCATTGCAGCGAATTTCCTGTACTTCCTGTTACAGTTGACAGTGGACACCCAGATAGGAAGTGAAGGGAAATCTCTTCAATGGGACTCAGAGTAATAAAAAAACTTTTTTTCTATTACCTTAGGGAAGGGTGAGAACCTTTTTTTTTTGTTTTTAGATTGCTGTCTGTGCACATTCTTTGTCTTTCTGTCCCAAGAATAGTACCCGGTAAGAGAGAAGGTGATGGGGAATTGCCCTACTGAAGACCCAGACAGCAGTAAAATTTTACAAAGATTGTAAATCTTCCCTACTTTATCCTAAACTATTTATAACATTAAGCATGATTTCACTTTTGGAAACCCCTCTTTAGCATGTTATGTATTGACCATTAATATATGGAATCATTCTGTTTGGTTTGGTAGACTGTTTTCAGACAGTTTGACATGGACAAATCAGGAAGCATGAATGCCTATGAGATGCGCCTGGCTGTAGAGTCCGCAGGTTAGTTTCTCATTAATTTACGTTAGTTGTTTTGCTTGATTTATAAAGCCTGTGTGTAATTATTTTCCTTCCTGTTTTCCCTAGGCTTCAAACTGAGCAATACCCTGCATCAGCTGATTATCACCAGATACTCTGAGCCTGATCTGTCTGTGGATTTCGATAGCTTTGTGTGTTGTCTAATCAGACTGGAGACCATGTTCAGTAAGTGGAATTCCTATTTTAGGGTCTATAATGTTATATCATTGCTTTCTTCTCCAGTACCCAGATCACTGTTCCAAGGTTCAAATACCGTAGTCAAGCATACTGCTTCTTTAATCAGTATTTGTATTTGTTCATTCTAATTATGAACATACTACTACAGTCTCCTAGTATGGGAGTCAGCTGGAATAATCTGTACCCAGTTTGACTATGCAGTTAACCTGACAGCTAGAGCTTAATCACTTTCAGTTTATCAGAGGACTCTGAAGTGTCCTCAAACTCATAATATTAATGGCCATTTTGTAAACTCATTTTCCATTACAATGACTCTGAAAATAACTAGTAAGGACAGTATGTTTCCTTTGTGATTCCATGCATTTATATGTGGTTATGTAAAACGTTGACTGTAGCCATTGCTGATTTCCTTCTGAAATGCTAGTTGCCCGGTTAAAAAAAAATTAAAGCTAAAAAATGTATAAAATACCATATAAGTATAGGAATCATAAAATATGTGCAAAGGTTAATAAAACTAAGGCTAATTTATTATGTAAATTTAATATATTTAAAATAGTAGCTATGTAAGATTTGTAAAATAATAGACCTTTTACCAGTGAGGATACAAACACACTCGTATGAAACACCAACTATTGAATTTGTTAATAATAATCTTTTTTCTTTGCTCATAATGGAATGTATAAATTGATACATTTATATGACTAAGAAAACTTCCTTGTTTCTATTACAATTCAGCCCTGATGCACATGTGTATTGCTGTCAACTAGAGTTTTAGGTCCTTTTCCCATAGCATTCCGATCATGTCTGATCGGTTTTCCAGGCGGACATGATTGGAAGCGCAATGTTAGTTTATAGGGAGTTGGATGTTAACGGACCTATTTTTAACTTCAACATAAACAAACCAGGTCAACAATGAAGTTGGACATTGAAACAACACGCTTCTGTGTGAACTGTTATTCTTTAGAAAGTATCACTGAGGGATTGTGACTCCATGTTGATGAAACTTTATAGGTTTTTGGGCAAATTCAGTGTGTGGATCATAACTATTCCATTTTCTAGAGACAATGTCTGATTCCCGGATGAGCTGTGTATCAGAATAACAGAATGCTTTCCCTTTTCAGGATTCTTCCAAACCATGGATACAGACAAAGATGGTGTCATCAACTTCACTCTTTTCACTGTAAGTATTTGACTTAACCAAACATTGATTTATATTTATATCAAGTCATTTTAGTATTTTCTTTCTCTCTCACTTTTCTGTACCTTCTTATTAGCGGGTCATTGTAGCACTATCAATATCAAAAATGAAGAGTGAAATCCAGGATCCCAACAACATTTTAACTGCTTCCCAGCCAGCCGTTGTAATTAAACGGCCAGCCAGGAACTTCTTGGATGTAACAGGCCGTCTGAAGACGGCCTGCTAGCTCCACCCACTCGTGCGCGGGAAACTGTCAAAATTTAAAAACAGGCAGCAATGCCTGTTTACATACAAGTGATCCGCCGGCTATAGAGCCGACAGATCAATTGTATGAGGTGCAAGTTGTTGCGCCCCCAGCTCCGCTGTGCCCGGGGCGGGCCGTGACCATCACGGCAGCTCTGTGACAGGAGATCAGAGGGAGATCAGTACCCGATCTCCCTCCGAGCTCCTCTCCGGTGTCAGAATGCTGAAGAGATGTATATTACATCACTTCCACATTCTGCTGTCACTCTCGGGCTACAGAAGCTGGAGAGAAACTCATTCAGTGCCCCATGGAATAAAATGTAGACGCCACATAGTATAAAAAATCATTAACATTTCTAATCATAAAATCTTTAAAAACTTACAATCAAAGCCTCCACTAGCATCCTCCACTAGCATACAGCTTCTCTCCCAGTGATCAGCGTGATTCCCTGAGATCACTGAGATTCTCGCTGATTTGTCCTAATTTGTTTTGTATTGTAACAAACAGAGGTGCACTGAAATGAGAATTTTTAAATTTTCAAAACCCAAATGAAGATAAATGTCAGACCAAAACCAAAAATGTTTTTTTTGTCTAACCTTTTCACAAAAAAGATATTTTATTTTTATGTATTTTTTATAAACTTTTTAATTTTTTTCTAACTGGAAATATTAGACCCCTGATATTTCCCTTTTAAAATAGAAAAAGAGATTGAGGACACAGTGTCCTCAATCTCTTTTTCTGCAGCCCCTGTTATAAATGAACAGGAATCCTGTTCAGGAGTGTCCCCTGTTCATTCATAACATGAGGACATAGTGTGTTTACTATAACCACAATCATGAATGAACAGGAGGTGATGTAGATCACTTCACATTCATTCATAATTGAGGATATAGTGAACATACTCTGTCCTCAATTATTTACAAACATTCAGCGATCACTGATCTCTGAGTGTTTGTACCCGCTCTCCTTCCTGACACGCTGTCACAGGAGGCTGAGCGAGCGGTGTGGGGAGGAGAGCTCTGTCTCCTCTGACTGCTGACTCCTCCGCCGGCCTGGCCCCCTGTGACAGCTGATGACTGTCTCCGCCTCCACCCGCCGCTCTCCTGATCTGTCACATGAGAGCTCAGCCTCCTGTGGGGGTGGGGTGGAGACAGCTGTCCCACACCACCGCTCTCCTAGTCTGTCACAGGCGGCTGAGCGGTGTGGGGAGGAGAGACGCCGGCCGCTCACAGCGCTCTCCTCCCCCACAACGCTCGGCCTCCTGTGACAGTTTCTCTCCTCACCGCTGGCACACCCAGCAGCGCCCAGCGGGGAGAAGAGAAAGCATGGATGCACTTCAATTTTGGCCAAAAGATGGCACTTTCGACATTTTGCCAAAAGTGCCATTTTCGGCCCATAAGCTTCGGTGGCCGAAATTTCGGTGCATCCCTAGTAATAAGTAAAATCCAGAAATAAACCATTTTCAAAATAAATAAATAAATAATCAAAAATGTAAAAGTAATACCAAAAATGACTTCAGAGTAAACACTGTAATAATGATTCAGAATATGTGTTCACAACATGTATATTATTCAGTACTTCCCTTTTAAAATGTAGTGTTGAGTTTCCAGAAATAAGACCTCAGTAAATTTAGACCTCTACATGTCTTATGCATGATGCTCCTGTTTGAAAAATTCTAAATGGTGGTCTCTTTTTTTACAATTTACAGTGGCTCCAGATGACAATGTTTGCATAATGAAATCCCTGTCCTGCATTCGCTGGATCCCTGAAAGCGCCTATAATCGACTGCAAGTGCCTTTTTCACTCGCTGCCCCTGTGCCAAAGCAATATAAGGAGGACCTGTCTCTTGGAGGACCTTTTCCTGCATCTGCTCTTGTGTGGCCTCCCCTGTGTATAGCATCCATTTTATGTTTATCAACTTTCCTCTGTTCCTGCTTCTCAAACTCAACATCCTTCTAGTTCTCCAACATGTATTAGAGAAGTGACATCATCAGTGTGAGAGCGATGCCAATATACTGCTGCCCCTCAGATACCATGGCCAGTTATCTTCTATTACCAAAGTCATTCTTTCTGGTTTTGTACTGAGTTTTAAATGCCAAAATAAAGATTAGCATTCTGTTACCAAAATAGCTTCAGACGTGAGCAATACATGTAAACTGTATATAGAGTGTTACTAGGTGCTGCATTGCTTTATCAATACAGACTTTTCTATTATTACATAAAGCCTCTTCTTCTTTACTGAATATCAATCCATCAATAACATGTCCGGTTCCCACTCGATTTAAAGAATCCAAAACAAGAACCAGATTGTCACGTTATGGATGAATGAGTATGTAAGATCTCCGGAACAATGGTATATCCTGAACAATGGTACCTAAGGAATTCTGTTCTGGAGTTTATGAATAACGCCTTTCATTGTGCAAGTGAATCATGCCAAGCTGTGATAAGATTTAGTGGAACAGTCACAAATAAACATACAAGTGTATGAATTCAGTGATGAGTAAGAGTACAAGCTGTGCCCGGTTTTTTTAATATTGTAAATATTGTCTTCTGCCACAATAATCATGTCTTTGAAACCAGCTTTATCCAGAAAAATACGGCATAGGGTGGCCTAACCACAACTTATACATTGTCAGTGAAATAGAGCAAACTAATGAGACAGAACCAGACGTAAGTAAGAGAGGCAGAAAATGATAGGAATTGTGCAATTTTACAGGGAAATTGTCAGGTTTGAAATATGAAACATGTTTTGCTGACCTATTTTTAAAGCTGCATGCTGTGGGGTTGTCATCCTTATCCTGCTTAAAGTCGCTGACCTGGAAAAATCATGTGTAGAGATGGTGCCTTATGTACTAGGTGCAGGCTTGTTTCAGGTCAGTGATTTACCAAGCAGTTAAAGAAGGATGAGGATAACTGAACTTGTATATCCAAAATCAGATTAGCAGTAGCAGCTTTCGACCGGTTCCTCATAATGACAAAAAAGGGCATCATTTGTTTTCAGATAGTGTCAGGCATATTGGTTCTTTCTGTGTTTTTGGACCAGCTTCTGGTAAATATACTGACCACACTCCTCTCCTTCACATACCGACCATTGTCATACCCTACAATTCTCTCCTGCACACATTTCCCAGCATCATACCCTCTAGGATGCCTCTTGTGTCATACCCTAAGCATTCTTCCCCTGCACATACTGCCCTCCATGATACCCTCTGGCATGTCTCTCCTGCATATACTGGCCATCGTCATACTCTCTACACTACTCTCCTGCACAGACTGCCAGCTGCCATACCCTCTGGCATCCCTCTCCTGCACATACAGCTGGCTTTCATACCCTATGGCTGACCTTTCCTGCACTTACTACCTGCCATTAACCATTCACATTCTCTCCTCTGCACCCTCTACCCTCAATACCCTCTACACTCTTCTTCTACAAACACTACCTGCTGTCATACCCTTTGCACTCCTTCCCTGCACATATTGCTCAACACTGTAACTTTGGGCACACTACTACTGCACATACTGCCTTCATAACCTCTGCACTCCTTTCCTGCACATACTGCCCACTATCCTACTCTCTAGGATGCCTTTCATGCACACACTGTACTTACTACCTGTTGTCATACCCTAAGCATTCCTCTCCTGCATATGCTGCCCTCTAACATACCCTGTGGCCATCATTATGATCTGCACTATTCTCCTACACATACTGCTAGTTGCCAAAGCCTCCACACTCCTCTCCTGCATGCACTGCCCACTGTCATACCCTTTGGCTTGTATCTCCTGAACATACTGCCAGCTTTCATACCCGACGTCATGCCTCTCCTGCATATACTACCTGCCATCATACCCTTCACATTCCTCTCCTGTGCATGCTGCCAACCATCATACCCTCTGCCCGCCTCTCCTACATGCACTAACTGCTGTCATACCATCTGCACTCCTCTGCTGCACATACTTCTCGGCATCATGTTGGACACATCTCTACTCCACCTCTCTACTGCACTTACTGTCATCATAACCTCTGCACTCCTCTTCTGTACATACTGTTTACTAAAACATGTCTTCAGCATTGTTTGTAACATCCCCAACCTTGTTTGTTGGTACCCTTGTATACCCAAATATACCTTAATGTCTTTGGTACGTCATAGAGTAAATAAAAGGAAAGCGTGAAAAGAGATAAATCAGTGATTATTGTGCAAATATATTCTAAAATTGCCTGGACAGGTTTGTTGGTACTCCTATAAAAGATTATAACTGGTTTAATAGGGTGATATTTCAAACTAACTGTACTCTGTAATTAGTATAACATATGTCTTCAGTCTTGTAATCAGTCAGTCGGCCTATTAAAATGGAGAAAGTCGTCACTCTGCTGTTTGGAATCATAAAGTGCTCTTCACCGAAAATGGATCAGAGAAAGCAAAGGAAAGAGTTGTCTGATGAGATCAGAAAGAAAAGTATATATCCGAATGTGTAAAGGCTATTAGACCATCTACAAGAAACTTTATGCTCCAGTGACTACTTGCTAATATTATTAAGAAGTATAAAGTTGATGGCAGTGAAGCCAACCTCCCTGGACTTGGTTTATGGCTATTGTCTCTGATGTAATACACACTAATGTTTACATTAGGATAAAACCTACCTAATTTCTCCCTCTCACATTGTGGCCTGACCAAGGTGCATACATAATCTCCAGCCACTGAACAATATGTATGGCTTTGTCTCTGAAACAATTGTGCGATTCGTTTTGTTCGGAATTGAAATTCTGAGGAATTTTTCGGACATTTGGATGTATCTGAATTTCATTCCGAATGAACTTTTGTTGTAAACGTCAACCTGCAAAAAAAAAAGTGGGCACTTCGCTTCCCCAATTGATCCCAGGAGGGACCCCTGATGTAACAACAATAAAAACATTTTTTTTTAAAGCGTGGGGTGCCCCTACAAAGTCATACTAAACCCCCCCTGGAAAAGCACCTTGTCCCCATGGCAATAAGGACGAGGGCTTCTTCCCCACAACCCTAGCCCAGTGGTTGTGGGGGTGTACGGGCAGGGGGGCTTATCTGCATCTGGGTGCCTCCTTTCATAAAAGCAAGGTGCTTACATACTGTACAGGCACTGTACAATGTACAATATGTGTGGCTATTGTCTCTGAAAAAATACACTCTGATGTTTATTTGAAGATAAAACCTGCCTTGTCTTATATTGCAGCCTAATCAGCCTGCTTACACACTGTCTAGCCACTCTACAATATTTGTGGCCATGTTTCTTCAAAATAATATACTTTAATTTTAACTGCAAGACAAAACGTGCCTGCTCAGTTTCAATTTGCTGCCTATTCAGGTGCTCATGTACTCCTAATGCTAGTCAATTTCTTTCAAACACATATCTGAAGTCTATATTTTGAATATTTTGGGAATAATTGGGGATATTGTATATGGATGGAGGGGGTTCAGGGTATGTGGCGCTGTTTTGACATTTTATTAAACATGGAAGATTATACAGTACGGTACTGCGCAAAAATTACCTCATAAACTATACTATAAAACTGTTTTGTTACTGGCACTTATAGCTTTTATATCTGTTGTGGCTGCTACTTTCACTGTCCAATTCAGGCCTATTACCACTAGAAAAAAAAAAATAGGTGTGACTGCCTAAGCTACCTTCAAAAGCCCTTTTTTTTTTTTGAAGTCGTAATATATCAGATTGAGGTGCTGCTGCTATACTGAAACCATAAAAAATCAAGTACACATCCAAAATATGTGATGCCAGAATACGGTGTTGCTGATGCTGGCATCTCTCCATGGACAGTATTGAATTGTCCATGCCATTTTTTCTTACAATGCCTTGCATATTAGCCTTGAAGATTCCCAGAATTGATTATCAAGATTCACCCCTCAAATATTTTAATGGGGTTTGGTTATATGTTTGCAGTTTCCAGACTTCTATTTCTGTTCTAGGGCCAACTGTTGGATTTCCCATTACATTCTGTCCCAGTGCCAAAGGTTTTGGTGTTAGATACACTTTAAAATGGCCTTGGTGCCCTATAGACCTGCATAAGCCATCTGTGTAAACCTTCATTTTGTTCTCTGCACATGATGATGTAGAGTTATTATTCATAAGCCAGAAAACCAGTCATCCGCTAGACTCTCAGTTTTGGCAGTTTTATAATGACATGTAAGTTCTTCCTTTTGTAAATCAGCCAGTAACATTTGACTTAACTCTTTGTCCCTTAGATCCAAAATCTTCATTTCATCATGCTCTGGGACAATGTGTTTTACAGAAAGCAAGATTGACAATCTCAGAATTGTAACATGGGGAGTACAAAGGGTGTGACCAGAACAGTCAGCTGTGGCCAAAGCTACACGTAGATAGGTGAAAAAAAGGATGTGCAGAATGTGATGCTAGGACGTGGTGTGAGGGGAGGGAGTTGATGGGCAGGAACAACATATAACATAAAAGTAATTTCACAAGCATCATTTCAAATTACACAATTGCTCCCCCACATCTGTATAAAGCGCAGCTGAAAGTGATCGTCCTATTTCATACCATTGTACATTGCAGTTGCACTGCATTGTTCTACAGGGACCACATTCACATGGCTTTTAATGATATCCTGGTGTCTATTGGTGGAGTTGGGTGCTTTCAGATATTGCACACTATTCTTCTTTTGGTACCTGTGGCCTTGCTATCTTGCCATAACCTTCTACAGAACTTCACTGGAGCTGTGCCTGATCACCACTGCAAACTTCCTTCTTCCAGAGTCTGGAACAGCCAAGATGAGACACAGCTTTTTGATTTCTACATCCCACTGGACAAGGACAGAAAGCCACAGAGGTGTGCCCAGTACCAAATTGTCAAAGGATTTTTGCCCAATGCCACAGAACATCAGTGGGAAAAAAAGAGCACTGAATCTTGCAGGGATGGATGGACCTATGACAGAAGTGTCTTTTCCTCTACCATTGTTACTGAGGTATGAAACCTGTTTTATACCTAGAACAACAGTCATAAGCAGCCCGCAGTTAAGATGTGTGATGTGTTGTGCTTACGAAAGGGCATGGTCTTGCCAGACATCTGCTGACATGCCAAAGGAATTGTGAACTAACTTGTTCAGCATGCTTGTAGTGCAACTCCTGCAGTACCAAGCAGTCTGAAAAAGATGATGACCACAAATCTTTAGAGTCTATTTCTTTCCAGGGCAGTGGGTAGCAGAGGTAGACCATAAGGCCCAACGAATCGGACTGAACCATCTCTGTTTTAAGGGGTTTTGTCTCTTTTTCTGCATTGCGCCAACTAAAGGTATATTAGTGTATGTGGCAGAGAATGCCTAAGCTCTTCTAAGCCCTATTACCAAATGTGAATAACCCCACACCACACATTATTAACAACACCAAACATACATACACATGCCTTGCATGGTTTAACAAACCTTGTGAGCATGAACACTTCTTATAATCAGTAAATATATTATGAGAATACTTTCATACCTTCCAACTTTCTGAGTTGAGGGGTACCTTTTAGCACATAGTATGAAAGCAAAGGACACCCACCTGCCATGCCACCCATGTATGCAGACCACAAAAAGTTGATGTGCAAAAAATGATGGGTTACACCCATAGGTACTCTTTTCACCAACACTTAAATAAAAAAAAACATGGCTTTTTAGAAGTTGTATGAAAGGTTTAGTGTAGTAGAACACTTTTGGTAGTTAAATATTACATTTACCGGTAGCAATCTACACATCAAACCAAAAAAGGACAACTGAAGAGGAAAGAGGGACAGAGGGATTCAGTCCCAGAAGAGGGACAGCCCTCAACATCTTTGACAGTTGGTAGCTATGTACCTCCATTGCAGCAATAAATGGTAAAGAGAAAAGCTTTCTTCAATTGGGGTCGACTCTTTGGGCCCTGAAGTAGTTGCCAGATTTGCAATCCCTTTGCTTTTCATTTTCATTATCAAGTTAAATTAAATAGTAGGTATTAGAAGCGTTAAGGGACGCTGGTACACATATTTTATTGTAGCCCAGAGCAATATAGCTAATAGCCATGACTCTTCTTATTTGACCCTAATTAGGGTAAGGAGGAAGAGTAAAGGTCACAAGCCAAGGGTTCAATTTCTTTAATTCCATACATTATAAGTAAGTGTGATCGACTGGAATAAATGTAGAGGGTTAGTTAAATCTGACATAAGCAAGGAATAAGTGATTTCATTGCTGTAAATGGGATAGAAGATGAATGAAGATCACATGTGTAGGATAAGTAAAACAGTGTGAAGAGATTAGATTAGTAGAAGTTACATAATATGCATAGACACACAGTATGTTGGTAAAAGGCATGAGCATTACTTGTCACTAGAAATAACAGAATCAACAGATGTAATAAATATAAAACTTAAATGCAGTTATTTGTCTTTCAGAATAGTCAGAATGCTTGATGTCTGGTTGCTATGGGTTACTGCATTTTGTGCATTATTGTTGTCTTAATAAGTAGATAATTACATTGACAAAGATCTAAGTGTCTAAGTGAAAAGTAGAATCCAATTGTTTTTGTAGGGTCCAGTCACATTTTTGGGGGCCATTGTGGTGCATTAGCATATACATGATAAAGTGAATTATGTTGTGTGTTAATGTGTTGCATTAAGGCAGCTCATTCAGTATGAACAGCATGGCAATGCCCTAAAAATTATACAGGACCCTTTTTTTAACTCGGCACACCACAATGCAAATGTGGGTTGTTGTGCACTGCAGTGCGATTGCATTGCCCATTAATGTTGCCAGCTAGTGTTACAGTGTGTGGAGTGCCATAAAAAATTAATAGAAAAACAATGCACCACACTGCAATTTATGTGTTACCATGCAAACATGGGGTGACAGAGGTAGCCGGAGTGTTTGTTAGTTACTTTTACACTATTGGAGCCTTTGTTTTGCCTCTGAAATGTTTCAGAGGGTCGAAGGAAAAATGCGGAAGGGAAGCAGTCGCAAGCCAGTGGGATTATCTAAATAGCATTGTATGACCATACTTAAGTTGGTCAACATCTTTTGATGAGTGCCTATAATTTAGGGGAACACCCGTGGTGTTTTTTTGGGATATGTGGATACATGAATATGTGTTATTGGATACTTGTGGATTCACTGGACTTCAAAGATTGGATGGATTGTTTTCACTATGTTCACGTAGATGTGTTACATTGAGTTATTATATGCGTAATATCAGCGAAGGACACATTGATATTGTTTGTAATCACCAAGAAGTGGACAACGTTAAACAATTTGTTATTGTAGCGTTAATTAGTATGGTATAAGGATGATTGAAGTGCAGTATTTATTAATATACCATTATCATGCATTTAGTAAAACAGTTGCATATGGGCGTGAGGGAAAAAGGTGCTGACCAAAAATAGTAGTAATCTTGATAGGAATAATTGACACATTAACCATCATTCAGTAAAACAACCTTACTTTCCATAGTGCCAAAGAATTTGCTTTTTGACATTTTTGGTGCATGCTTTTCAGTTTTAAGAAACAAATGCTAATTTCCTGCTCTCGCAATTCACAATACATGGCAGATTTATTGTGCTATAAGGTGAACATCCTCTAATATACTTTCCTTTTCTTACAGTGGAATCTGGTTTGTAACCATCACTCATTGAAGCAGATAGCGCGTTCCATCTACATGACAGGCGTTCTGCTGGGAGCTCTAGTCTTTGGCAGCCTTGCTGACAAGTAAGTCATGTCACATGCTGTTGAGTATAATACTACATGCTCATGTGATTAGGCTGTATGGTTATGATATCACATATCATTGTGTTCTATAACCAAGCATCTTAGTGTTCAACAATTACTTGAGTCCTGTAGACTCTTATATTAAAAAAAATTAAAAACGTATTGGCACTGGTTGTGATATAATTTTCATATTGGTCTTCGAACACTATAGTTTAACTGAGGGGGTTATTCACAACCGAAGGCAGCCGAGTGAATAACCGAGCTGAAGTGAATTGAGCCGAATGCCGTTCGACTATACACTTCAGCTCAGTACGGCTGATTTCAGCCATACATCGGCTACAATCAGCCATACATCGGCTGGCTTCGGCTGCCTTCAGCCGAAGTGCAGAAACAGGTCGACTCAGCCGATCCAACATCTGGATCGACTCACTGCTGACTCACACCCTATTCTCATAGGGGCCGAACGGCAGTGAGTGACTAGCCAAATGCCGCCGAGAGGCATTCGGCTCGACTATTCTGCTCCGAGGCAGTGAGCAGAATAGAAAAAATGTAAACAAAAGGGGGGGGAAAATGTGTAAAAATGATTTATGTAAATGTAAAAAAAAGAAAAAAGTTAAGAAAATAATAAAACATTTTTTAAAAGAAAATAAAAAGAAGAAAATCAACGTGGGGTCCCCCTTCCAGACAATACCAGACCCTTTAGGTCTGGTAGGAATGTTAGAAGGGACCCCTATAAAAAAAATTGTGGGGTTCCCCCTTAAAAGCCATAACAGGCCCTTCAGGTCTGCTAGGAATTTTAGGAGGGACCCCAAGTAAAAAAAAAAGAAGTGTGTGGGGTCCCCCCCCCAAAGTCATACCAGGCCCTTAAGGTCTGGTATGAATTTTAAGGAGGAACCCCACCCCCAAAAATGGGGGGACAAAAACATGGGGTCAAAAACGTGGGGTCCCCCCTAAAATTCCCCACCAGACCCTCGATCCGAGCACTAGCCTGGCAGGGCAGGAAAGGGGGAGGACGAGCGAGCGCCCCCCTCCCTGCGATACCAGGCTACATGCCCTCGGCACTGGGAGGGTGCTTATCAAGGATCCCCCCGGGAAAGGCACCTTGTCCTCGTGCCAATGGAAACAAAGGCCTCTTCCCCACAAGCCCTGGGGCATTGGTTCTGGTAATGCGGGCAGGGGGGCTTATTTACACCAGGGCACCCCGGGACCAGCCATGGAATAGGGCTGGGTGCTGTTCAGCCTGCCCCCCAAGCTAGGCCTGAGGCCTCCAACATGGAGGTGGCTTGTGATGCTGATAGAGGAAGAGACCCAGGACCAATGCTGGCTCTTGAAGTACCCTGGAACTAAGAGGACTTCAGTAGTATGGCCAGTGTTTTTCCTGTTTGAGGGTCTGTATCCATCCTGCTTCTCTGCTACATCAGTTGCTGTCCCCTGCCTCCCAAGTGGATTTACACTGATATGCCAACCAGGTCTGGTGAGTCTGGACTTTTGTCAGTTACCCTGGAAGCATAGAACCCCCATATCCTCTCTCCCCAGTGAAGATGTTCAATAAATCGTTATTTTATATTATACTACTGGAGTGGACATCAGTCTGTGGGCACAAAAAGAAGGGCGGTTAATGCTAATCGGTGGGCAGCTGAACAACATACCCTAGACTGTGTTGCGATATATTTTGTAGTCCAGAGCATTACACCTAGACACAGCGGCGTAACTAGAACCGCATGGTTAACAGGAAGGCTGCCGAGGTCTCCAGCAAGCGTGGGACCTCAGGCAGCCGCTTGTTTAACATTTTAGTGCCGGTGTTCTGTCGAGAACGCCGACCCAGTATCTGCGCTTACGTACAAACGAGATTAACGAGGAAACCGGCATTCGTTTGTAATGGTTAATTTTGACCGTTAATAATATACCATGCATGGCAGTGAATGACGGATGGAATATAATTAACGGTCACGATTAACGATTTAAACAAAATACTTTGTAATAAATCCCGGTTCCCTCGATAATATTGGTCTGTGCGCAAGCGTAGATGCTGAGGTCGGCAAGATCTCGGGGGTGGCCCTCTTCTTCCTCGCTGGGCCCCCCAAGTGGCGGAACGCCAGGGCCCGGTCACAATTGCGACGGCTGCGACCCTGGTAGTTCCGCCAGTGACTAGACAGAATAGAGATGAACCGGGCATTCAGCGTCTCCTTCGGGGGTGAGCGCTACACAAACATGCATAAATGTGGAATCATCTTACATTAGAAAGATAGATCGGTAACTGTATTCTGCATTTTGCCATTGAGCGGTAACATTTCTCAGTAGCAAGGGATTAAAGTCACCCTGTAGTTTAGCTCTAAAGGTGATAATTTACCCTAAACTTTGAATCAATTCTTGTGCTCAGCAGATGCTGCATGGACAGGATGGAATATGAGAGATAATGATGCTCTCTCATTATACTTAAACAGTTCACACAGCCTGGAAAGAAAAAGTTCTGTTGACTCGGTATGCATTCAAATGGAAAAGGCAAAACCCCATTTGTTACTTGGAAAGGGGGAAGAAATTGGCATCTCTGTTGGTGCTAAGTCCTTGTATAAGGAGTAACAATCATCAGATGTTGATAATGCTTGTTGACAGAGCTGTCTATATATTGCATACATGATCCTATATTTCTCTACTGATCAGTGTTTCATCCTGATAAAGCATTTCTTTGTTTCCTAGGGTGGGCAGAATGGAGATCCTGACCTGGTCCTATTTACAAATGGGTGTAGCTGGTAGTTGTGCTGCATTTCTGCCAACCTTTGATGCTTACTGCGCATTCCGCTTCCTGTGTGGTGTTGCTTCCTCTGCTATCTCTGTCAATAGCATCTCTTTAAGTAAGTACAATGACTTATTACACATATTTTATTCTGAACCATCATATATGGTACTTTAAGTAAAATGTTAAGCTATTTCAGATGCTGATTAAATCACTTACAATAGATGCTGCTTCTTGATGTTTAAAAGTTTTAGTTTCCTGCAGAATCAGCTGATCCTCTGAGCACTGGCCCTGATATCCTGTTTTAGGGCTTCTCCGTTCCCTTGCAGGGTCCTATAGAGTCACCCTTGTGTGTGCTAGTAAGCTGTGTGTGTCTCTACAAACACACAGACAAAGCAAGATAAGGCACTCCCCTGCTCATCCTTCCTCCCTTCTCTAAGCCAGTAAATGGATAGCTGCTGGAGGCTGCTCTTTCCCTTGTGATCTTGTACTGGACAGGAAGTTTAGGGAAGTTGAGCTGAGAGAGTTGGAGCAGCTATTTGGAAGTATATTAACTGTAAGTGTTTGAGAAAAATGTAAAGAAATACTTTGCTGGGCAACGTGTATTTGTTTTATCTGGATTCACTATTGAAAAAAATTGAGAATTAAATACTACCTTTAAAGGAGAACTATGGGGTCAGGGCTTTTCCCCATAGTTCTCTTAAGGGTCACGGGAGGACACAAACTAGCATCCTCCCGTGACCCAAAGCTCATTACATAGTGTGAAACAGCTTGCGGTATACTGAGACCGCTGCAGCCAGAATGGATCCCAACATTGCTGTCGAGATCCACCCAGCCGTGGGATTGACAGCTGGCTCTGCCTATCCAGAGGCAGAGCCAGCTGTGCCCGCCCCCTCCCCCGTCCGTTCCTCCACTCAGCGCTGGAGGATCGGACAGGGGAGGGGGGGAATCCCTGCAGGGAGCCGTGAGTGCAGCCATGGCTCTCTGCAGGGATAGATCGAGAAGCGAGCGACGGTATGTGTTCGCTCATTTCCCTATCTACTGAGCCGACCTGTGACAGTTTCATTGTCACAGGTCGGCTCAGATTATGAGGCTGAGTGAAAATCACTGGACTCATAATTCTCCTTTAATATGGTTTATTAAAATCTGTTGAATGAAAATGACAAGCGGGCTCTGATGTCTTTCAGCATCTGTGAATTCACCCGCTGCGAAATCTGCTTGAATAAAGTCATTTTCAAGAGCACAAGGGGAAAAAATCTGAGAATGCCAAGTTTTACATAATTAAACCTGAACTCCAAGAACACTTTTACCTACACAGTTGAAATATATTATATGCAGTGGCATCACAAGAGCGGTCAGCACCAGGGTGACACCATTGGAGCGGTGACATCAAAATGACTGACAGTCATGTCAGGAGAGCGGAGGGGACCCGGCGGCATACCTCATCCCGCCGGGTGAACATTCCCTCCTCTCTGTGCGGCGTCCATCATCAAGATGTGTGCCGGCAAGCATCAATTAGATGACCAGGCATTAGGGATGCACAGATACTTTTCGAGTACCAGTGCAGATACTTGGCATTTTCATGAGAACTACCAGGGTTGCAGAGGTTACAGCTGGGAACTGGCTCTGGCGCTCCACCACTGTCCTGAAATCATTAGTCTGTATTGTTTTAGAAATTCTGTCACATGACAATAAACAAAAATGTATCAGTACTCGTACTTGTAAGTACTCGGCAAGTACCAGTACTCGTACTCACAAAACTGGTATCTGTGCATCACTTTATTTATATTTATAAAAACAAAATTGTACATTAAAACAGAGATGTACAAATCCCGGGAGCTCCGTGTGCTCCTTACAAATGACAGCTGCCTCCTAATTTTTGAATTTTTCTCTAGTCTAATCTTGGAGCTCAAAAGTATCGGTACATGTATTCGTTACTTGTACCGAGTACTGTACTTGGTATCTGTGCAACCCTACCATGCATGCACGATGATGTCATCGCCCACGCACGTGGTGATGTCACGCGCACTCGCGATGACGTCAATGCGGGGTTTCACCCGGTCTCCGCTCCAGGTGACACCCGGCCTCGGGACGCTTCTGATTATATGTGAACTGTCTTTCCTGTAAAAGGATTTGAAGTTTATGTTTATCCATTCTTGTGATCCAGGTAACCCTGACAGACTGTACATTCAGGTCCTGCACTACCTTAGACCTCACTTCTTAGTATAATGCATTTGACTAGTTCTGTCTGGTCAAGTAGCCTTTGTTTGGACAGTGAATCAGCAGCAGCACACTGTTGAGATCATTACTCCACTCTTTCCTCTCTAAGAGGAAGCTGTTAGTGTTACATGGACTGTGCAATGCAGTTGAGCGTGATCGGCTTACAGAGCTGCCCCTCCTGGGCAAAGGCAGCTGATATCCAGACAGGCCCAGGCGATTTTGCCAGCTGAATGCAAAAATGCTTTTACTAATAATTATCTGCCATAACGCCAAGCTTGGTTCCTGTTCACATATGAGTTTTAAGTGTTCTTGTCCATATTTAAATGCTCCAGCACCTCATTTTGCATTCTCCACATGGAACCACCATCTCATGATGACCACAGAATGTGTAGAGTAGAGAAGAGATCAGGTTCAGACCAAACCTGGCCCTGAACCTGAGCTCCTCTGAACATGGAAGGAAGCTCCTTTTAATGCCTCCCAATCAGCTGTGGCTAGTAGCGGGATGTGGTCATATGAGGTCAATGATTTCAGCAGAAATATCCCACCCCTTAGTTTACATGTAGCTGCAGGGCAGGGAATGCCCCAGCCTGCAGATGATTGGGCGGTTGGCCCATGGTGCTTCCGCGTTCAGATGAGCTCAGGTTTTGACTGTGTTCTGTCTTAACCCAAGCTCATTCCTAGTGTACAGAAGCAGGCAAGCATATCTCACCAATAGGGTATCTGAGATTGATAAGAAATTATTAATAGGTCTAACTTTCCAGCATTTACCGAAAACTGAAATATCAGTTTAAGTGGACTGACCCTTTACATGAAGGTCTTCTATATGTCCGCCTGGAGTTTAGTTTTAAATGAATCTGCTCAAATATTTTGTAGAATGTGTGTCTACATGATGTCATCCAAAGTTCTTGGACTCTAACCTATCGCATTATTCCCCAAGTATTAGAATGGATGCCCAAACATGGTCGCATGCTGGCTGGAAACTTTTTTGGTTTTTCATACTCATTTGGACAATTGGTTCTGTCTGCTGTGGCTTACAAGATCAGAGACTGGCGATGGCTTCAGTTTGCTGTCTCAGCTCCATTTTGTATCTTCTTCATCTATTCTTGGTAAGACCTCACTGGTTATATTTACCTGATTTGGAAATTGGCAGATGATGTTCACAAGAAATGAAAGTGTTATAACACCCCCACAATCTTTCTGCTTTCCATATAGGTGGTTACCAGAATCTGCTCGATGGCTGATTCTCCGGGATGAGCCAGAAAAAGCTCTGAAATACATTCAAAAAGTTGCCTCTGTTAACGGGAAGCACAGAGAAGGAGATAAATTGACTGCACAGGTATAGAAAAAAGATACTTCTGATAACAGGAAAATTTGGATACTAGACACTAAGGGACCAATTTATTAGTCTACCACCCAGCCATATGCTAGGAGAATGCTGTTCACACTACATTCCTGCCACTAAATGGAACCAGGGAGCATAGGACATTCCTATGCTTCTCAGCTCCATCTACTGGCGGGAATGCTATGTGTATGACACTCACCCAGCGTAGATCTGGGCAGAAGGTTTATCCCTTAACAGAACTGCATCCTGAAGATGAACTCTCTAACATCAAGTTCCATCAAGTGGATGCACAAAGCTTTCTGTTTCTCCACTATAGGTAGATGTAAAAATCAAAATACAATGAAAGTCAAATATGAAATCTTTATAGTCTAGAAGTCAGTCAGTTTACATCAGCATGATATTCTACCATCAAGGAGTAAATGTTGATCCATCATGTGCTGACATTATTGTCGGACAATCTTCATAACCATTGCACTTGTTCTTCTGATAGATGTTGTGCTCTGAGATGCAGAAAGATATCCTGATAATAAGCAAATCACACTCTGTGTTTGACCTCGTTCGTACCCCAGCTATGAGGCGTATGTCCCTGAGTCTCATTATAGTTTGGTAAGTCTTAAAAATTAACAGAATTTTTATATAGGGTAAGCCAAAAGTGCAGCAACTCATAGCAGCCAAGCAGCAAGTATTTTCCATTGTTGTCTCCACTCTAAAGTGATGGAAGCTAAAATTTGATCTGATTGCTTCTAAATAAGCTTCATTGAAGAAAATGCCTAGCTTTGCTCAGGTAATGATGTATGATGGACAAAGCTGTTACTGGCAGAGTGCTATCGTCACATTAAATATTTCTCTAGACATACAAATGAGTCCTCAAATGAATTGCCATTAAGGTGTGGGGCAAGGCAAATAAATCTCTGCAATATGTGTTTTATTCCTTTAAAGATGTCTTATTGATCTGACAGCAATGCACTCAGTTTCAAAGCCCTGTTGTAGGCTGACAGCATTTTTGTGAACAGAGTGGTGTCAGCCCTGCTCAGTTGTTTTTAACTAAAATTACTCAAACTTTCCCACACTCACATCTCTATCAACATAGACAACAAATATTCTGTAGCCCAAGATAAGAACAAGAAAGGCAAATTAAACTCCTTGAGGTAACACAGGAAGTGTGCACAGAACACAGGACAGCTCTGAGTCATTCATCCTTCAAAACTGCATGTAATTCCTTCTGTGTGAATGGAGGCAAAAACTGATGTTATTAGCACATTTTCTTCACATGTTGATAGTAATATCAGGAAAATACATAATTATGGCCACTAGATAGAACCAGCGAGCATAGGAAAAAAATACTTGGGGGTTATTCACAAAGCTGCAGAAGGCAGCCGAGTGAATAACCCAGCTGAAGTGAAGTGAGCCAAACGCGGCATTCGGCTGGGCTATTCTGCTCGTTACCTCCGTATAGGAAATAGTGAAAATCGTAGAGAAAAAAAAGGTTAAATTTTTTTTAAATAAATAGTGAAATTAAAATTAAAGATATTATAAAAAAGAAAAATAAATCAATCAGTAAATACAAAATTGGGCGGTGCTAGCAGTGACAGCTAGCTCCGCCCAACTGTTTCCTATTGGCCGCCACCCGCTAGAGTCTTAGAACGGGGCGGAGCCGGCTGTGACATCATGGCCGGCTCCGCCCAGTTGTTCTTGTCTAATGACAGATCAGCGTTCCCAGGTCATTTGGGGACGCTGATCTGTCATTACAACTGGGCGGAGCCAGCCGTGAGATCACGGGTGGCTCCGCCCAGCTGTCATCAGCGGGGCTTACGGCTGGCCTTCAGCAGGCCGTTCGCCCTGCTTTGGATGTCACTTCGGCTCAGTCGAACCGAAGGGCTGCTGTACGGGCTATTCACTATAGGCCACTCGGCTGCTGTATGGGCTATAGTGAATATAGTGACGCTACGGCTGGATCCTTTGGCTCCTTCGTGAATAACCCCCACTTCTTTCCTTGGCTCCTCAGCTCCATCTAGTGGCCATAATGCTGTATGTTTCTGTTATTACATTCAACTTGGAGAAATACACAAATAGCATTCATTTAGAAAATATTGGTCAATTTTGGTCAATGAAAAGCTGACAGGGATACTTATGGACCCACCCAAGCGATGTCTAGCAACATGAAAGCCTTGGATACAATATTCCAGACCGCCCACTTTTTGGGCCCCTTTGTAATCCATTTAATGATCTGACTCTCTCGAGCCTCCCAACTCCGCTTTACTTCCCTCTCTTCTTTTCTTCTTTCCTCACTCTTTTTTCCTTTTTTTGGTGTCTTTTCTTCTCGACCCTTCATCCCTACCCCCTCCTCCACACACCTCCTTTTTGTCTTTCATGTTCCTCATTTGTATGTCAGGAACACCTACATGAGTTAATTATAGATGATCTTTGGAACGCTTTTACCTCCATTTGCCATATTCAAGTTAATTGTTTCATGTATTGTTTTTTTTGCTGGCAAAAAATTTGGATCGGTTCATTTTGTTTTAGATTTTTCATCATTTAGTTTTTTGGGACTTGGATCCGAATGTCAATTCATTTTGGGATTCGGATGAATCCAAAATTCTCATTAATTTTGGATGATTGAAATAATATTTACGAACGAATTTTCGTTGCAGCAAAGTGGCATTAGAAAAAAAAAGTGACATTTTTCTTGTGTAACTTTTGACAGTCCACAGAAACAATAAAAAAACATTCAGAAGGGAGGGCGGCATCTGGGTGCCCTCTTTATGAAATGGGGCACCCAGATTCCTATAAGGCCCTCTGCCTGCAGACCCAGGGTTGTGGGAAAGGGGTCCTTATCCTCATTGACATGGGGACAAGGTGCTTTGCCAGGGGGTCCCCCTCTGCAAAGCCCCCTCCCCATGTTGAGGGCATGTGGCCTGATATGGTACAGGAGGAGAGGGGCCCACGCTTGCCCCCCCCCCCTTTCCTGCTCTGCCAGGCTACTGCTCGGATCAAGGGTCTGGTAAGGGATTTTAGGGGGGGCCTAATGCTTTTTTTTTTGGCATTGGGTTTTTTCCTAAACTTGCTACCAGACCTAAAGGGTCTGGTATGAATTAGGGAGGGGACTCCACGCTTTTTTTAATATTGTAACGTTTAACAACCTAAATCCATTCAGAAGAAAAATCCACAATTTTTTTTATTCAAAAATGTTGGATACATTCGTATTCGTTATATTTTCATTTAGACATTCAAATGCATCTGAATGTCCGAATATGCTGAAATTCGTCCGAATCGCACATGTCTAATTTTGTCTGTCCTTTAGGATCATTTAGTTTGGCAGTAGATGTTTCATTGTGCCAACCTTTATTTTCCCCGGACTATCTGGGCTGGTTTTATTAGCTCTCCGTGGCAGCACCTTGTTGTTTTATAAGTTCTTTGTGTTCTATAAAAACCCAATAACAACTCTGTGAAAGAAAATATGCTAATTCACATTCACACTCGATTCGCACAGAATGAATGTACCTGCAATTTTGCCAGAAGAATGGCTCTGCAAATTTATTATAAATACACCACCCACGTATTAAAAACATAGATTTGTAAATCTATCCTAGTCAAGGGCCTTCTGTGTAGTGTGATCCCTATCTCTGAGCTGTCTATGCACCTATCCTGGGGAATGCACAGCAATAAATAAACGCAGGTATGGAATTTTTATTTTAGCTTCTACTACTTATTGCTAATTAAGTCACACTTATTTTTGGGGACTGTACAATAGGAAGAAATAAACACATTTTTAACTGATAAAGTGTTTGTTTTTCTCCTGTAGGTTTTCAAGTAACTTTGCCTACTATGGGCTGAGCATGGATCTGAAGGACTTTGGGCTGGGTGTATTCATAGCTCAGGCGCTGTTTGGTGGAGTAGAAATGATTGCTAAGCTCTTAGTGATGTTGGTGATGACCTTTGTGGGCAGACGAGTCATGCAGTTTGCTTCCCTGTTCATGGCTGGAATAATGGTTATATCTTATGGCTTCATACCTCAAGGTGACCCACCTAAATTATATAACATTTTCTAAAGTAAATCACTGATGTGAAATAATAAAAAAAAACAATAACTATGTGACTACCGTATTTTTCCGTGTATAAGATGCTCCTTTTTCATAAAAATGTTTACCTAAAAATAGAGGGGCGTCTTATACATGGGGGCCGAGAGGAGAATTGCGGTTGCGAAACTGCCGAAAGTGCCGATACCACTGCAAACTAGCCTTACGAGTGAAACTTCAGATTGCAGAGACAAGAGAAGTTTTCCTCCAATCATAAATCTTTTGTACCTGACGTCAGCTGTTGCTGGGGAGAGTGGAGGAAAACTGTTATCTTGTCTCTGCAATTCGCTCTTCCCAGCAACAGCTGACATCAGGTACAAAAGATTTATATTTGGAGGAAAACTGTTATCTTGTCTCTGTAATCCAACCATAAATCTTTTGTGCCTGACGTCAGCCCAGTGCCCATGTCAGAGCATAAAGTGATTGACTCAGAGGTAAGTGTGATGCATTATATCATTTAAAATATTGATTTCTGAATTTTGGGTGTCATATATGGGGGCGTCTTATAGACGGAAAAATACGGTGCGTCTTTTAAAGAACAAATTATAATTTTATATACAGCATTCTTAGCATGAAACAAGGAGATAATCATCCTGTAGTAAACACTAGGCTCCCACCTCCTAACTACTACTTTCATCAGCTGCTAACCTGTAGATGATAACTACCAGAAACCAACAAGCTAGAGAATGATAGTGTGGGATGATACCCTGTTATATGCTAGGTTGCACAGAGTGTCAATAGACTAGAATGTAGGGTGGGCTGGTGGGGAGACAAATATCATTGTATAGCAGGGTAGAACAGAATGCCCTCTGTACACCACACCTAAAGCAACCACAATAAGTGATGTTAATGGAGTTTTGCTACGTGAAATGAAAATGGCACTTCTGTTTAATAATCTCTGAAGTCTCCACACCCTTTGTAACAATAGGCAGACCCTTAATGCTTCCACGTAGATGTATTTACATTCAGAGAACACTAGTATATCTAAGCATGCATAGGACAAATAGATATTTTAGCATTCAGCCCTCCAAAGAACACATTTCTACACTGACCACTACCGCACCACCATGCAATTCTCCACTGACTGCCACTGAACCAACATGTACTTCTCCATTGACTGCCACTGAAACAACATGCACTTTGTGACTGACCAGTAGTGTACTGAAGGGCGCTTCTCAACTGACTACCACTGAACTAAAGTGCACTTCTCCACTGACCACCACTGTTATGGACATCCACTTTTCTATTGGCCACCACTGTATGGATGTCCACTTTTCTACTGATCATTATTGCGCTGAAGTGCACGTCTCCACTGACCACCACTGTATGGACATCCTCTTTTCTACTGACCACCACTGCACTGAAGTATATTTCTTCACTGACCACCACTGTATGGATGGCCACTTTTCTACTGACCAACATTGCACTGAAGTATACTTCACCACTGTATGGATGTCCGCCTTTCTACTGACCACCACTGCACTGAAATGCACTTGTGCACTGACCACCACTGTGCTAGCATGTTGTTACTAACTGACAACAACTGTATCAATGTGCACTCTCCCACTGACCACAGCTGTACAAATGGTTACTTCTCAACTGACCATGCATGTACCAACATGCACTTCCCCTCTAACCACAACTGTACCAACATCCACTTTTCCACTAATCATCACTGTACTGATGTGCACTTCTCATCTGAACACCACTATACTGACATGCACACCTCCACTGATCACCACTGTACCAACATCTACTTTTCCACTGTCCAACACTGCACCAATGTATAACCCCCTACTAACCACCACTGCACCATTGTGCACCTCTCACCTGATCACCACTGTACTGACATGCACTTTCCCACTGACCACCACTGTACAAGCGGTCACTTCTCCACTGACTATCTCTGCACTGATGTGCATTTCTGCACTGACCACCACTGTGTTTACGCGCACTCCTCCACTGACTACCAGTGCACCAACATCCACTTTTCAGACACACTTTATATACTGTATGTATGTCGGTGTAAGGTGCATCACGCTTGAATGCATGAAGTGATATTATATGCTGATACACTTACTTTTAAGTTTTTTCTTTTGGAGACCCATTGCTGGATATCTTTTTGTATCATAATTGTATCATACTAACCATCCTAAGGATATCATTGCTGGTGATTACGCTATGCTTAAATGCAAGGCGTGGCATTGCATGCTAATTTATTTACTTCAAAGTTTTTCTATCTGGAGACACATTGTTAGATAGCTTTTAAAATGGTATCATATTAATCATCCTCTATATATGCATGTCGGTGTAACGTGCATCACGCTTCAACGCATGGGGTCATATTCCATACTGATACACTTACTTTAAAGTTTTTCCTTTTGGAGACACATTACTGGATATCCTTGAAAATTGTGTCATACTAACCATCCTACGTATATCGTTTCTGGTGGTTATGCTATGCTTAAATACAACGAGTGACACTCGTTTTCTTATCTGGAGACACATTGTTGGATACCTTTAAAAACTGTATCATATCAACCATCCTGGGGATATTGTTGCTGGTGGCCACCAGTCACGATTGGGATCAATATTATATTGATACGTATATGGCAGGGCTGCACCGATATATCAGCCACCGAAACATATCGGGCGAAAATGGCACTTTTGGCATAATGCCAAAAGTGCAATTTTCTGGCCGATACAGTGGTGCATCCATTCTTTCTCTCCTCCCCGCTGGCCGCTGCTCTGTGTCCCAGCAGGGAGGAGAAAAAGTGTCACAGGCGAGGAGGAGAGCGCTGTGAGCGGCCGGCGTCTCTACTGCCACACCGCTCAGCTATTGCACATTTACATTCATTTCTACAGAAAGACTTGAAACATATGGTAACATTCATGATATCAATGCTGAATAAAAAATGTTCTCTAGGGTTTCTTTAAACACTAGTTTTTAAGTCACAAGCAAGTAGCGACACTCAGTTTTATATTGCTAATACTAGTGGTAAAGTGGAAGCAGATTTCTAATTTCTTACTGTACATTAGTGCAATAGCAAGAGGTATCTGTAGATTGTGGAAAACCCGCCCCTGAAGAGCAGTCTGTTCATAATTATCATTGTTTTTACTTGTAGATATGAAGATGCTGTGTACCGTCCTGGCAGTGATGGGAAAAGCTTTCCTGGCATGTGCTATAACCTGCATGTACCTGTACACTGGGGAGCTGTACCCTACAGAAATAAGGTAAGCTTCCTATAGCCTGTAAGTAACTTCGTAAATATGTAAATGAATATGTGCAGAGCTCAAATAGTGGAAATATTGACATGTACTTTGCTTTTGTGACCCACAGGCAGACTGGAATGGGTTTTAGTGCAATGAATGCTCGTCTGGGCTCTGCCGTTGCCTCAGTTCTACATCTAACAGGAGACTTCTCTTTTACAATTCTTCCCATGCTCTTCGGAATCACCCCTATTATCGCAGGCTTTTTCTCCTGCTTCCTGTTCGAAACCAAAGATTCCCATTTACCTGACACTATTAATGAAGTGGAAAGCAGGTGAGTTCTACTCTTCTCTCTTTGCCAGTTCTCCATTCTCCCCCCCAGTTCCCAGTTATGGAACGTTTACCTTTTCCTTAGTTACATTTAGCTTTGGGACGGAGCCCTTAGTCAATCTCTTTTCTTCTAGGTGAGTGACAAGCAACACATTGCTTACCTTTACACAACTCTAAAAGATATACTGTATATATAATCAGTATTTCTTCTAACCCCACCACATTGAGTCATGGTACCATCAATTTTTATTTTACCCAACCTTCTACCCAACTACTTAGAGTTGTTTGCACTCTCTTGATTTGGCAGGACCAAATTGTCATGAAATTATAGATCTCTAATCCATTTTTCCATCCATCATCCATTTTTAATGGAAGATCTGATATGTGCAGCTCAAATGGCCACCAATTTACACAATGGAAGTCTTGGAACTGGATACAGTGTGCAAAAATGGACCTTAAATAACAGTCAGTACAGAGAAAATACGAATTAGTCTATAGCTACTATGACAGTAACATTGAGGCTGCTGTAGCTGATCTGATGTGTGTAAATGCTAGTTGTTGGTTGTACTGCTGACCCTCTGACTTCAATACTTCAAATTCCTGACCTAGAACCGGTATGTAAGGACCTCAGACTTAATTCTTATCCTGTAATGTTTTCATAAATCGGTTAGCATAATAACCTGGCACCTAGAGTTTCCAGATGGTCAGCAAAGGCAGTTCACACATTTATTATGTTATGACAAATTTAATAAAACATAAATTAATTACCCTAGATCAGTTCTTCCTAAAGTGTGGGTGACCCCCTTTGCACCCTGCTTTACACCGCTGATCTCTGCATTGCTGTATCATGTATGCTGAGATTTGTAGCTCCTCTACAGCTTGGAGTCAGTGGCAGAATTACCTGGGTCACAGCTGCAACCGTGCCCTGGCACTCCACCACTAACTCCAAGCTGTAAAGAGACTACAAATCACAGCCTAGACAGGAGGAAGAGGGCCCCAGTGAGTGCTGACATTTCCATAAAGAGGACCACCAAAATCCTCAACACCAGGCCCATGATGCGCTTAATCCGGCCCTGCCTGCCAGGCAGTCGCAGTGTAGCAAATCAGCGACAGAATGATTTCTTCTTTAACTCTGAGGTCAGAGCCAGCAGGAGCAGAACTGAAGAGAAGGAGACAGTTGGTTGAGGGTAGGTTGCGGAGCAGAGGTTCGGATACAGCGTTCTATATCAGAGTTGTATACAGCATTCTATATCAGAGTTGTATACAGCGTTCTATATCAGAATTGTATACAGTGCTCTATATCAGAGTTGTATACAACATCGATATTTGAAGGAATTTTTCACGTTCTATATCAGAATTGTATACAGTGCTCTATATCAGAGTTGTATACAACATTCTATGTCAGAGTTGTATACAGCGTTCTATGTCAGAGTGGTATACAGCGTTCTATATCTAAGTTGTATACAGCATTCTATATCCGAGTTGTATACAGTGTTCTATATCAGACTTGTATACAACATTCTATATCTGAGTTGTATACAGCGCTCTATATGAGAGTTGTATACAACATTCTATGTCAGAGTTGTACACAGCGTTCTATATCTGACTTGTATACAGCGTTCTATATCTGAGTTGTATACAGCGTTCTATATCAGAGTTGTATACAACATTCTATGTCAGAGTTGTATACAGCATTCTATATCAGAGTTGTATACAGCATTCTATATCAGAGTTGTACACAGTGTTCGATGTCAGAGTTGTATACATCGTAACAGATCCACCACTTCACAGGCAGATTATGGGGACCCCCCAGGCACGATATTTGAAGGAATTTTTCATTTTTATTCTTACCCTTTAAGTGATGTAAAAACCACTGCTCCTTTAAAAACGCTTTTTTGTTGTTTGTTTTTTTTTCATTGATTCCTGTCCCCTAGTGCAGTACCCGGACCCCCATGCCTTTTTAGGGCCAATAACTTGCATATAACCCCTTTTAAAGGGGACAATCGTATCTGAAAGTTCTATCCCCACTTGCATTGAGTTCGAGTTCAAATTCAAACTTTTCGGACGTTTGAATGTTTGAATGCGAACCGAACTCGGGCCTGTTCGGCCCATCACTATTCAGTACTACAAGATAAATTGCCTTCTGGTAAAGCTTAGCAAGACAGTGCGCCCCTTTATGGTTTTGGTATGGGGCCCCATCATGCATATTTATGGACCTATATAAAAATAGGATGCTACCAATTTCGGACATTCTGCTTTTTCTCTCCACAGGATTAAAGCTAGTTCCACAGATTCTGAAGACTCAGATGATGAAGATTGGACTTATAAGGTTCATTTAAAAGAAATTCCGTGATGGTCAACACAGTATCTAGATGAGTCCTGACCAGGGATGTTTTGGAGCGTTATAACAGGTTGTAACGGCATCATCAATACCTGGTCAACACAATGTCCTTTGCAGACTGAAGAACCGCTCAGGGGTTCTTTATATTTCTCTGTGATGCCCCAATTATTTAATAGAGAACAGTGGGGGAGTTGAATATAGAAAGGGCACCTGCAGTATTGTTTCTGTTTTCCTCATAAAGAATAGAGGAGATGTAACATTTTCACAGTGTGAATGTCTGTAACCTGTACCATGTTGTAGAATTTGGTGAATGATCCCAGAGCTGGTAGAGTCTAGGCATATTTCAGTATTTAAGCCACATTTACTATGAGGAATGTTTGCAATGGGGGAAAGAAACAATATTTTCAGAATTTTAAGACCCAGAATATTGTGTGTTCACATATAACTTGTTACCGAAAAGGAGACAATTACTCTTTAATATTGCAGGTACTTTTTCTTATGGAACACTGTGACATTGATTCATTAACCCCTTTACAACCTTGCCAGTGGTGTTCAATTCATCAGCAGTTCTGCCAAACGAGCTAAAAAGTTGGCCAAAATACCAAACCCAAATCCGAACACCATTGAAGCCAATGCCTCCAGTAATACTGCCAGGAATCCTGGGTGGCCCAATTTGTTCTATGACGTCACATATTATTTCCAATGCTGGGAATCTGTTATTTAGCAGCGAGAGTGAGGGGTGTACTGATTGGCAGCTGACAGGTCATCATGACTGACTGGAATGACACTGCCGGGCACCATGATTGACATGGATTATCTTTCTGGATGCCTTAATTGACACTGGATTTACTTCTGGAGACAATGATAAACTTTCTTTTAAAATGTTGTAAGTATGTGTTTGTGTTTTCATTTCGTTAAAGGATTTTTTAAATCAGTGTTTCTTTTTTTGCTGTTAACACTTTGGGGAAATAGGTAAGAGGTTCTAATGTACCAGAAGGGGGCAGGTGACCACCCACCATAAGTCCTCCCCGTTTTGCTATTACCTCAACCTCCTTTTTGGGGCACACAGAGGTCGGGAAAAGGCCCTTCTCCCACAAGTGTGCTTTGCAAGGAGAGAGGTAAGCTTTGGGGGTACCCTTCCCCAATGTTAAAAGGCATGTGCACTGGTATATCACAGGAAGTGGCCCTCACCGTACTGGCCACCCTGGTTGCCTGCCTTGATAATGGTTAAGAGGAACCCCACAACATTATTTCAAATTTGTAATCACTACATACTGTATAAATTGTTTTAGTGACAATACATTACTAAATTATAAAGCAGCCCTTTACTGGTTTATAATTTAAGGATACACATAATACCTGCTGAATTTTAAGAGCAATGCGTGTAATTATACTGTATGAGCATAGTTACTGCTATATGTATAATTATGCATACTGTGCGGCTTTTAGCACATTTTTTTGTGGCGAATTCAGTGCACTCGAACATCGCAGATGCTCAATTTTACCTTTTCAGAACCAAATCTTTAATGTTTGTGTCAAATGTAACATTTTACGGAATGCAAACAGCAATTCTACTCGCCAGGTCCCTGCCTTATCGACTGAATTTCTCTCGGCAAACAAATAAAACTGCAACACAAATATATCTGACAACTTGATTGTAAAAATAATCCCTTTATTTTTCTAACCCCTTTATATTTACAACGTCACTCAGGATACAATATACATATTTTAAAATGATTTTTTAAAATGTACTATTTGACATCCTTCACTCTGATAAAACATGTTCACCAACAGTTAAAGAAGAGTAATTAAATATAAACAACTCTGTCTTTTAGACATTTAAAGTCCATCTCTGGGCAATCAAAAAAACTACCCCTGCAGTGGGGCTACCCCTCACTGCAAGAGTTAGGTGCATTTCTTTGTCTAGGGGCTGGGGTAAAGCAGATATACTGACTTGATCCTCACTCCCTCCGGCACCCTTCTGGCTGCTAGATCCACCCCTGCAGCCTGTTTTGCCTTCACTCCAGCGGCCTAAATACTCCTGACACCATCATGTACAATTCAAGTTCCACAGACCTACATTAGGCGTAGAGACTCCAATGGGCATTCCACCAGCCTAATTGGAGGGGGAGAAGAGAAGATAGCCAACCGCTTAGGGAGGGGGGATAAGGTTAGTATATCTGCTTTTCTCCAACCCCTAGACAACAGTGAGTACTTAAACTTTGTGGTGCAGGAGTAGCCTCATTGCAAGGGTAGTTTTTTCGTTTGCCTGGAGATGGGCTTTAACTTGACGGATCCAAAGTCAAATGGTGATTATTTTGTCTTGCAGCATCATCTGTAGCAGTCAAATTGTATGACCTGATTATCTCATTAAAGGGGTATTCCACTTTCATTAGAGGAGTAGTGAAGCCTCAAGTTGGAGGACTATTGCTGGACAGTGAGAAGACTTTCTCAGCTCTTTCAAGTGGCTTCAAAGATATTGCTGTGTACAGCCAATGTCAAAATGATAGCAGTATTTATGAATTTGTCTAAAAATCTATAAACATTCATAACATGAATATCTGTGGAATATCATATTTGACATGAGTCAATAAACTGATTTCTTTGTGCGCAACATTTTAATCATCATGTTTTCCTCCAACATGATTCTCATGAGTAATAGAATATTCTAATAAAATATATTTATTAATAGCAAGTTGATTCATTTTGTAAAATGATGACAGTGATTTGTATACAATTTCCTTGCATTTCACTTTTTTTCTAGAATATGTTGCTTATCTTTAGTATTTATTTGGCAATTAATAAAGACTGCAGTTTGCGCTGGCTATGACTACACAGTGATTTAATAAAGGATCATCAGACTTGTGAACAAAACTTATTACAAAGTATCTGAGTGATGTAAGAGAACACCGGTTCACTCTTACAGGGAGTCTTTTCTTTTAATACATTTTCACTATAAATGATAGATTTTCACTATACTTTGTGCCTGTGTGTATAAGTTACTGTACAGTCTTTGGTACCCTGGACAGGTACAGAGGTCATATTCTGTACTCCTAAATGCCAGATTCAGTGGTGGTTAAGGTTCAACATCCAGGAGCTCTTGTTGCAATATTCTCCATGCAACAGAGTGATCATGTATCTCAAGATATGTTCTGTCCTATTATCCTGTGATGTTAGGGAGCTCAAATTGCATCCTTGAATTTACAACAATAGGGAATTCATGAATAAAACACATAATTAGTTAGTATTGTGTAACTGCTGTTTATCTAAAGCCGAAACCTTTTTATTATTTTGGATCAAGTAGAGAATGTTTTCAATCTATGTCAAGTTTTTTTTTGCCATCTGCATGCCATTTGGAAGATTTCTCTTCACCCCCTGTCCTGTGGGACGTGAGACGAAAACTCTCCACAATGTGGGAAATCCCCTCTAAGACAGTAGCCACTGGAACAAGTGTCACTGTTATAAGATTCCCCTCCTATTCCTGTTCTGGTGAAAACGTTTGGGGGGGTTTTTACTCACTTGTAGTCCCTGAGACAGTGGTTATCACTATAAATACCGTGTTTCCCCGAAAATAAGACCTACCCCGAAAATAAGACCTAGTACTATTTTTGGGAATTGCTAAAATATAAGACCTACCCCGAAAATAAGACCTAGTTGTGACCATTCCCAGGGCCGGTGGTGGCAAAAGGGGGAGATTGAAGTGCCGCGGGAGAGAATCAGCGATGCCAACGAATCCAGCGCGAGAGGAAGTGAGGGGGCAGCGGAGGGAGCAGAGCCGCATAAGCTGATGCTTCCTCTATAGCGCCGGCTCCTGTCACAGGCGGACTGATACCAAATGCACTCCGCCTGTGAGGAATCGAGAGTGAAAGCGCGCTTCGCTCATTCAGGCCAGCGATTGGTTACCAAATTGCTCTTGGAAAGGTACGGCACCCGATTGTCCTGATCACCATATTTGTGTACATGAATACATGTAGACTGTTGTGCATGAATAAGTGTGGATTGTTGTACATTAAAAAAAAATAAGACCTACCCCGAAAATAAGACAAAAATAGAAAATAGACAGCGTCTTATTTTCGGGGAAACACGGTAGAGAGGGCTAACCTCCTTAGCAGAGACACAGACAACAATACAAATCTGACATTGGTTCTAACCCTTTTTGGCTTTGGAGACACCTGTGAAAACACAACTATTACATCTGGGGCCACAAGCTCTTGGGTAGCCTTCACTGTTCAGGGTCGTTATTCTCCTGACTTGATTGCTCTACTTAAAAAGTGCAGCAAACCCTATAAAATGACTGATTGCATGGGCTAGTAGAAATTGCATCTATTTTCTAGTACCAAAACATTCATGTGTCCCATTATCCACTAGTACACATCTTACCCTTTCTCCACTTCTTGTATGGTGTCAGTCAGAGGCAGGTTGCAGGTCTCAGTAAGAAGACATGAGGCAGTAATCCCTGACAGAATGGGGGCTGTACCAAAGATGATAGCTGGTAGGATAGGAATGTGATCTCCAATTAAATGAATCACCGGTGCAACAACAGAACCCACTCTGGCATTGACGTCTCAGAATCCCATGCCAGTTTGCCTGTAAGACACAAGGAACCTGAAGTGTTATGCATTGTATATAGATGATTCAATAATAGTGGTTCTTTCTTCAGAGATAACTAACATTTATTTACCTTTGTTGTGCAGCATACTACTTTACATATAGCTCTTATGTTTGGTAACCAAAATGACACTTGGAGGCTGCTACATAGCTGAGCAAATGCTGTGCACAAGGCAAACCCTCCACTAGATGGAGCCAAGGAGCACAGGATTTCCTATGCTCCTTGGCTCTATCTAGTGACGGAAATGCCTTGCGAAAGGCATTCCCCCAGCTACATGAGGAACCTTCATACATCAGTCCCTAAGTGATTTTCTTCCATGAAGTTACTGGACAGGAAATAAACTGTTTGAAAAAGTGTTTCCTGTGCTGTGATCTTTGTCAGAAAAACAGGAAGTGTGTAGAAT